TCAGATAACATCAAACCATTATCAATCTTATTCTAAGACAAAAATATTTTCCATTATTCCTGAGCTGATATTTCTTTTGGCCAGCATGAGACTTTTTAGAGTCGAAACAAAAACACTACTACTGGTTCCCTGACTACATTTCGAGATAAATCAGTAAGAATGACGTTCAGACTGTTGAGCAATAAAGTCCTGATTTCATAAAATCTTGGCGGCAGCTGACTTCTGATTTATTTATGCTTGTATATGAACAACTAACTAACATATAGGGTTAGTAACTTTCAAGCGTTTTCAAATGCATGTCTATAGTTCCAGGAAAGCCATTGACCGAAGCTAAAAATTACTTTATCATTACAAAATTGCGTTTAAAACCAATTCCAGTAGAGATTTCGAGACGCTTTTATGTACTAGGTTGTTATCCACATCTAATGTAGAGGTTTGAATATTTGTTTACAGGAGGAACATGGTATAGCGCGGATACCAGAGCAATAAGTCATAACTTTAAATATGGGATGACTTGCTGCACAAGCTCCTAGGACAAAGTTGATAGTAGTGCTAGAAGACATCACAGAGTGAATGCATCTAAAGTTTGAATATTTTCACTAACCTTCATTTTCAATTTTTCCCAACATACACCTTTGTCTACATTAATACCAGTTTGTTTCGATCCAGTTGTTCTGTTCATCCTACTGCGAGGTGTAACAGCTTGAAGTGATGAATTTGTGCACGAAGTTCTACGTTGATTTTGTCTGATAACTATAGTCTGTGCTTTCAATCGAAATTCAAATCCACTTTCCCTTGAATCATAGAGTTCATGGTGGAGACCGGTCAATATACCTGCTTTCAACCTGTGGGTGATTTTCAGTTCCAATTCTACCCCTTTGTGTCAGGGTTTCAGCTTCTCGGTATTGTCATAAACACGCACATATACACACAAAGCGTATGCCTCGTTACCTAGTGCACTATATTGCACTCAGTTCCTGAGTTACAGTCAAAGTCCATTGGCACTATTGATATCGAACCAAAGTTCACTAATGTCACTAGGTAGCCCCAATATATTTACCCATTAAGTGATAAGTGGCAGTCATTTGTTCCTGCTTTCATTTTTATGCAAACACCACTACCATGTCATGTAAGTGAGCAAGGCTACAGTATCTTATGAAAGAAAGCAGGAACGAACTGCTGTCAGCGACACTAAAGTATTCAGGGCTGAGTGCTAATGATGTCACCTGGCTATCAAGTTGTAAACTGACAAGGCTACTTTCCAACCCGAAATTAACTGGTCGACAGTAGGAAGTTTAGACCAAAAGTTAAAAATACGTTACAGTGAAGTTGAAAAAAGCGACATAAACATCAGTGTGTTGAAGTTGTACCAATTGAAAACTGCTTAAAATGTGATACTGAGGCTACTCTCATATTAATGAAACTTCATTCAACTAAAACACAAAACAATGTTAAAGCGACTACCTAACTCAATGGTTTATCACTCCAAAGATCTTGTTCATTCTATTGAAGATTGACAGGTTTTTTAATCATATTTCTGAATTAATGTACACATACACGCAAGTTTAAACAGCCATGGTGAACTACAGTCGACCACTACACCTCTAATCCTGGACTGTATATACCAGTGACTGTTATAAAATGAATTGTTTTTGCCTGTATGATACCCGTCAAACTAGAAGGGGGTATTATGATTCAGTGGATAACGCTCTAGTGTTTGAAGCAATCGGTGCCGGATTTGAGTTTTAGTGAGAAAGTCTCAAATAGGAAGAAATGCACGTCTTGGATCCCACTATTGGTCACTTTTATAATGACTAAAAATTGTTATGTCTAATGTTGAACAGTTATGAGGTATAAACCCAGTAGAAGAATAACTCTTGCATAACATATACACAGTGATAAGAAACTGAACTGAAGACAGTAGGATTCACAAAAAACTACCCAACTTTTGCATGTTATCTATCTTCTATGTCATTTTATAGAACCAAATTGACGAATTATACAGTTTTTATTCGTTGTAAAACAATAGAAATGAATTCACAATGTTGTTCAATGGTCTTTATGCCTACTTATTATTGTTGATTCTTTCACTAGAATCATAAACACAAGAGACTTAACTATGGTGTAAACAACATAAAAATATTTATTCAATATTCATTAATTCATAGAAAGCTGACTGTTAATTTGTTCTTTGTATTGCATTCAGTTTTATGCATTGACATTACTTGCAGTAATAGTAGTAATGATATTATTAGTATGATTGCTGTTATTTTATTGTTAATAAACTGTACAAGGAATTTCAGGAGAGTAAAAAGTTGATGATGATGATAATAATAATAATAATAATAATAAAAGTGACAATGATGACACAGAAATACATTCATCCGTTAATCGTCGCTGTTGTCAATGCATCATCAGCCAACTAACAAGAATAAAACAACAAAGAATAAAATAAGACCAGTTCATGTATATGAAAGAAATTTAGTGTTTCCTAACCAGATTGTTAGCAGTATTTTGTGTATAGGTAGCACATAATTAAAGTGGATACTTGACTGTACACATACTGTTTTTTTGGGATGATGATGATTATGATGATGATAGGATTGCGATGTATTCCGTCACAAGGAAGAGAATCTTCACCACTCCCTATCTCTACCCATTACATTTTACAATCAAAAGACCAAACTGAAAATTATTTCGCATATTACATCATTTGTGAAAAAAAACAAACAACAAAATGAATCAAACAAATACCAAGTAAAAAAAACACAGGACATAAAAAGTGATCATAAATTACACATACGCACACACTAAGTGTATAATATAGTTGATTAATCCAAGCACATAAAATGCTCTTTTAGCAGTAGTAGTAGTAGTAATAGCAGTACTGGCAGTTACGATCCAGTTCAAGGTGGTATTGGGCATGAAATCCACCTTCTTGCCTGACCTTTAATACACATTCCAGAGAACGACAAATAAGTAAACAAGGTCAAAGATGATACACAAGAGCGAGTGCGTGGGTGTATGTGCACACACAGTGCGTGGGAAGTTGGCGAAGAAAACAACAAAAACCAAGAGATATATGAACGCTAAAAAAAGAAAACGCATGGAAAGCCTTTTTGTAACAAAAAAACAACTTAAAAAAAGGGGGGGGAAATGCAAGACCTGCACAGCGATTGATCATCAGTGGAAACATACACACACACAGTAGGTTTCAGTTAGTTTTGTAAATCGAAAGCCCGTACTTTGCACAAAGGAAAAGATGCATAATTTCAGAGTTCTACTAGACAAGTTTTTTCCCAGCAATTAAGTAGCATAACAAGAAAGGATAGTCAAGTTAACAATTACGTGATCATGGTATTGCATCATTCATCACAAAACATGAAAGAATTTTGATATATGTGATAAGAAGATGAGAAGTTTATTGTTGTATTGGTCCAGAAAAAGAGTAATTAATACAACACTACCAAGGCGCCTATAGTTGTATCAGATAAGTTTAAGGAAATAAAATAGATGAGTGCAAAGAGAAAAAAATAAGAAGAAATTGAGTAATGTTGGTTTTATTCATTGAGACTGAATGGATAAGTAAAACTAAGCCAGAGATACAAATGTTCCATATTAATAATAATAACAATAATAATAATAATAAAGAAGGCATTTAAGTTACATGTTGTGTAGCACAATGAGCAGAAAACTTGATAAAACAAATTAACACCAATGAACACGCCTGTCTTCATTCATTCATTGGCGATCATAAGACAGCGTAGTATGAAGGCTGAACAGGTGATGACGAAGAAAAGGAGGAGAAGGGATATGATAAAAATTCCTAGTCTGACAAAATTTAATCAAACCTGAGCTACACATGCACACACACACACACACAACAAGGGGTTGATTACATTCTATTGAAAAAGATACAATTAAAAGCGGAAATTTCATTGTAGTTAATGTTCTTTCAAAAGACATCCAATTCAACATTCATAGGGCATTCCTAGACAATGCAAAATTAAAGAGTATTACATGAGATCAGAATAAATAAATTAGCCTAAGAACCAAAAGTCTCCTGAATCGATAATAATATCTCATATTCGACTAGTTGACCTAAACACATACACGTTTAGACATACATGTATACGTACGTACAGTATAAATTGAGGAAAAATAAGAAATAAAGCTAGAAAGCCCTCAGGCACTGTTGAATTACTAAAGCCTAAGACTAACAAGCAAGCAGTTGTATATATATATATATATATATATATATATATATATATATATATATATATATATATATACTAGTGATAGTTACCAGTGTGATGAGTAGCGATGAAATGACAGTGATCACGATTACCACGGAGAAGTGATGCGAAAATGGACAAGGCATAAACAATAAAGTTAGTAAAGGAGTTAAACGAAAGCACGTACTCCAGAATTACTGGATACAATAACAGTTACTATTATATTTTTGTTTGGTTTAAAAAGAAGACAGAAAGAGGTTTCCCCCATTCCACTCAGACACTCATCGTCCAAAATAATTAAAGGATTATACAAGGAGATGTAGACAACTATTGTATAATAAGCAACAACAACATTAAAATAATAATTTAAGGTATTTTTAAAGAAGAAAGAAAGAGAGAGAGAGAACCGTAACAGAAATGACGTCTGTTCTACACTGATCAATCCCTTAATGATAGCGGATGGGTTTTATCATTGCGTATCACTGTAACAGGTTAAACAACACTCGTGACTAAGTGATTTATCTGTATTTCCTTGCTAAACTTCTCAAAAAAAGTATGTATCATAACACCGAGAAATATGATGCTGCTGAAAATTGGTGTTAAAATGATACATTAAGAGAAGAAAGTGTGACATTATTGATTAATTTCAGGCTTTGGAAGACAATTATGGCCATGAACACTTAATAAATAAATAAAAACTGACAACATTTGACAAAATGACTGTTTTTTTTCCCTTCATAATTGTGATGATATACAACTTGGTTATTAATGCCAACGATGACTAGCGGGAATTTCTTTGGCTTGTGCAACTGAGGAACTGTAAGGAATAGAAAAGAAAATCAAACGATTGATATCTTATTTCAGAAAATAGAAAATATATTTAGAAAGGTATTACAAGTAGACTGATTAATATTAGCATGCTCACTGAAGAGACTATGAAGATTTTGACAGCAGTGTTTTTTAGCTCGTCACCAGTACAACAGTCAACCCGTTATATATATATTCCGTGTACAACACGACTTAATGGTAGAGATAAAAAGCCTACGATATATTGAACATTATTTGAATACCAATCGCATATACAACAAGACATGGTGGTCAGACCAATTTTACGGTTCAACCTATATTGGGCAAGCCTACCAGACTAAACATCCCAATTATTTAGCAAAAGTGACAGTACATTCAATAGCATCAATAAGTCTTTCATAACAAATGGTTTGTATTTGTGACAATCTAATATTGCCGTTTGTAGATTGCATGTTGGTTAAAAGAACTATCCAATTAGGAATTATTCCGAAGATGCATCCAACAATGTATTGATAAGAGCATAATTCAGTGTGGTGCATATCCAAGCTCATTTACCCAGGTAAAAAGAATCCAAGAGAAATATTTAATAAACTAGCAATTCGGTGAATTACATAGCTAAGAACAGTGAAATAAATCAGTTTACATAGATGAGATCTGATAAGTGTGAGTATTGTGATAGGGTATGTTTTTATGTTCCTTTCTCCATTTCCGATACTGAACACAGTAATAACTACCACTCCACCTCACCCCCTGCACACACACAGAGGAATATATACACACATAAACAGTAATTATCTACCAATCAACTTCTATATGATCATATACTAATGATGGATAGTGACTAGCAGTGGTATCCAGGACGCGCATTTAGTCCTATTCGGGACTCACCAGCTGTATGTACCTGCCTTTCTGTGAGCGATGTTGTTTCCACTAGGACTCGAACTCGGGACCGATTGCTACAAACGTCAGAGCATTGTCCACTAGACCACCGAATCACGATAGCCACTTCTTGTGCGATGGGTATAGTTTTAATGTTGTTGCTTGCATTATCACGTCGTTGATTGTTAAGAAATAAACCGAATTCAAAACGTCATCCCGTAAATGATACCGTATCACAGCTTTCATCTGAGGTAAATAAACAGTCAACGTAAGTTTTCATAAAATTGTTTGGTTTCGTAGAGTAATACGATAGCCCCAAATAGGTTTTCTGCTACAACTCCTCTGACAATACTCTACAGATAGACAAGTACGCTTGATAGGAAGTGGCCTAAATTGAAATCAACATTCTGAGTCATAAGCCACTAATAAAGGAGTTTTGGATTTCAACTTTTATTTCATGTCACCGTATGGTCAGGAAAGATCTTATTGGACAATGCACCCTACAGCTGACCAATCAAAAGAAGTTATTTACCTTTTGACCTAGTGTTTTTTATGTTCATGAAAACTGTATATAAATGATGAATTTTTATGGAATAAAGAGTTTTCCTTATAGTCACAGACTGGTCTTGGTCTTTTGATTTTCGCAGCTTAGTGAATTTCAAAGTTCTGAGGCAGAAAAGTCACTCTTTGTATCTTCCCCAACTTTCTCATTACGTAATTATCGTTCGCACATTTCAAAGTATTCACTCGGTCACCTCAATGTTTTTTATGACGAAGCTGTACCATCATGACCTGGATACATGAATCTTTTCACTTTGTTTAGTTGAATACGAAACATTTCATACAGTGTGATAGTACCTCTTATAAAAAGATGTAAGTTCCTTTGGCAGTGTCCACTTGAACAGAATGTCCAGTAAAACATACACCATAAAGTATGATTGATTCGCTTATTATGTTCTCAGCTGCACTTTCATCTGAGACAAGTAAACACGAAAGCTGTTTCAATAAGTTCTATTTTGTGTTTGTGATCGCAAACGAAGAAATTTGCCATTAAACTACCCAGTTCAGAGAAAACAACGCAACTAAGATCATCCCAACCTAAGCTATAAATATTCTCAATTTCAGAAAAAAAATTGAAAATACTTCCTGTATATTAATTTCGAAGAGGAACCCTACGGTAAGCTTTTCATTGCAGTAAGGCTAAAACATTATAGGGCTTTTCAACCAACCATATCCATCACCTCCACGCTCTTATTCACTTTTAGATTAGATGTAGGTTCGCGCGGCAATGTATAAGTTCTCGGTTCTTGAGGTCAGTTCAATGAGAACGACTGACCAACTTGTGAGTTTTTCATACCATGTATAAGAAGGATACTTATTTCTCGATATATTCTTGTTTGAATAAAAAGAAAACTTGTGCTCAGCAGATCTGTTGAAGATTTCCCCTTATTGATGACCCAAAATTTGTTATTTTTCCAGCTGCTTAGAACACCTTTTTCGGTTCAGAGACCTTCTGCTTCACATTATCCACCATTCTCGCAGTTTGCAGATTAATTTAATATGATAAATTAGGTGTAGATGTAGTGTTTACGCACGTTAAATAAAGGAATGAATAAGATTAGATTAGTGTTGTTTTTAAGTATTCAGACCAGCCAGTAATCAGCTTTTGTGATCACAGAAGAGAAGCAGTAGATAAAGTCATTCTTCAAATAAAGGTTTTTCTTGTAGACAACTAAAGCAAAATGACAATGTGGTGCTCCATATCACATAAAATATTTGTTCACTATACATTCTTATCTGTTGTTTTGTAGACTGTCAATTATAATAGACTATTTGTTTAAACTCAAAGTCACCAAAATATGGTACGTATTTTTAAATGGCTTCAATAAATGAGACAAAAACAATAATAATGACGTAAAGCCTATTGCAATCATATTAAACTATATTTTAACTGATAGGTATTTTATCTGGAGGTTTGTGGAGGTGTATTAACTGATTTTGTGTTGGAATTCATCATAAACTGATATCAGTCGGAGGAACATTAGAAACCTGTGAGCACTAGACAGCTGTTTCGTCCTGGTATAGGACTCCTCGGCAGTGCACACCCATGGTTTCGCCAGGGATCAAGTCCGGATTTTCGGGTTGCGTAGCCGGCACGTTACCATTGAGCTACTGGGTTAAGTAGCTTAATTTATAAGTAAACACCTAGGAATGTAAGAATGGTGTATTCACCATGCTCCTTTATCACTGCCTTGTTTCATTTCAGTGGTACTGTGTTGATTCAACTGTTTCTTTTATCAAACTTTGAAAAGTGACACAATTTAAACTTGACCTATTACACAGTTGAGTAGTATTTTGAGTGTGATTTACAATTAAATAAACAAAACTTCGATTAAGTGCCTAACATTTTAAAACAAAATAAATGTATCTGCTGATGCATTTATGCCACTTCTGATTACAAACCGTTTCAAGATAAGGATAGATAAGGAATTAGAGACAATCTTTATGGAATCCAGTCTTACACGGACTTGAAACACCATTAATCCTTCATGTAATGTTCAGTCGTATAATGAAGCTCAATCTTCATATGGATTAATATCTGACGTGGTCTATTCCACCAGTAACATTAGTTGCATAGACATTTCTGCTACAAAGTTGACACACTTATTCAAGGACAGGTATTAGCATAATAGCTAGTACAGTCAGTCTGTAGACAAGTTAAGGTATATGTATTCCGTCAAGTGGTTGCAAGCTGATGAGGTAATGTTAAGGTCATATACATTTTTACTTGGGACATTTGATGAAACGTTGCAGTTGTAGCGAAGTACAGGTTTGTACTGTGTTATTACATGGCGAAGCATTGATCTGACAAAATGCGCCACACTAACTACAATAGACGTAATGAACTAGATAGAAGCCTGTGATAGTCAGGCTGAAAATGATACTAATCTATGTAATTGCTATCCATTGCTTGCACATAAAAAATTGCTGGCTGCCTGTTTAAGGTCATAGAGTCAGTAGAACACAACCTTTTGAGTCTTGAAGTAACAATGCCGAAGAAAAGTGATGGCCACGTAAATATATTTAACGCTTACCTCGCTTTAAATTCTTAAAACTACGTCATATATGCTCTGCTAACCTCCTTAGCTCACTCGTATTTCTCTTTGAGTCCTCTTTTTACAAAAAGTCTATCTTCCTAGTTGGCGGACCTCCATGTAACAAATAAAGACAAGAAAGGATAACTAGAGTCTACACTTCACAATATGTAGCTGTGGATCATTGATTTTTAACCAACGAGTCGCAGGTTAGAGCACCTCTCCACCTACCGAGGTTTGAGAAGCCAGGCAGTATCATTGGCTCTCATACAACAGGTATGGCTTACTGCCTACTGCACAAATGCGCTCAAAGTTGCTGGGTGTATTTCCATTCGATTTTCGAGACTTCTCAATATTGCTAAATTTATGTCATCGGCTCCACAGTCGAAAATCTTGCTAAAAATAACACCAAGTACCAATTAAAAATCCCAAGAAGAAAGACAACACAGTGATTGTATAACTAAACGAAACTGCAGATGCTGAGTTACTGAAAAAGCATGGTTATATTATAAAAATGTTGATTCTCGATTACACTGACATTCAAAACTGATAAACGCAAGAAAAATATGACAGGCTCGATAGAGAGACAGATCATAATACTGCTTGGAAAATCCTTGAAGAAAGAGCTAATACGACGTCCCACGCAGCTATCCGAAGCTTTAGAGGACTTGCCTGCTGTGTACATATGACCTTCCAAAGATACACTAACAGGATTTTCCTTATTTACAAAGTTACTTCTTCACGAAACTATAGATTTTGTCTGGGAACACTGAGATTTACTTCCTTTGCCGATATCTGAATTCAAACTAATTTTACTGATGTCTACTAGGAATGTTCAATTTCAGTTTGGTACGGTAGTTATCCACTGATCCTTCTACTAGCGAATATATATATATATATATATATATATATATATATATATATATATATATATATATATGTTACATCCTAAACGAGGCTGAAGCTTGCAACTGGGTAGACGAAATTCTACTTCAGATATATTGATGACATACTCGTTTTGTACGACAACGTATGGTATGAATCTCATTTGTTCAGATGCTTCGTTTATGCATACAAGAACATTTATTTCACAATGGAATATGAAAATAATGGTGGATTCAGCCTTCTAGATATCAGCATTCAATGAAGAATGGATGATACGCCCTAATGATCTATTTACAGAAATAATAAATGGAATTTCTATATTTCAACAGTTCTATCCAGTCAACTTTAAACAACCACTGTCCCACACAGCGAAACGAATAGGTTCAAGTGATAATTTGGAAGACGAATTATTGGTAATGGAGAAAAGTACAAAGGAGAATGGCTATACACAAAGATTTATCAATAAATATGGTAGAATTGTATATGTTAATTTGAAGAAAGTCAGTTATCAAAAAGTCAGTCTTTGTTTAAAGATGATGATATTGAAGAAATAGTGAACAGAAAAGTGAAAGACAAACTGATCAGAACGTATCCTGTACTTAGAATCAACTTCAAATTTCGAATAGGTTTTTCACTCTTATATCAACTCCAGTTGCGTTTATAAATACACATGTATTTGCCGGAGTAAATAAATTGGAAAGACAGAAAGAAGGGGTTACTTGGAAGTTTTTGAACACATTCCATAGGCTTTGTAACTAAGGAAATCTAGCAATCTCACTAGCGTGACTAACAGACACTTAATAGATGCAAGATACCAGAAAGATGCCTTGAAAACTTTTACAATAATTAACAGATAGAAAAACCCCAATTTTCGCTGTCGCAATCAAAAGGCTGAAAACAGATCTGTATGTACAAAAAAAGTAGTTATTATCCCCATAACTCAGGTAATAAACTTTACTCATATTCGACCACATCATATCCAGTCATCGTCATTAAAAGTTGTAAAAAACGTTTTACTTCATACTAAAGTTTTCATTTTATCCCACTGAAATGAACTCACCATATTCTTTCTAGATACTTGTGGTTTTCTGTTGTTATACTGGACCGAAGTGATTGACCTCTGTTGGTATATGGGCTTTTATGTGGATGCCTCAACAGGTTCGAATTTCCACTCCTAGTGCAAACAACATCACTTACTGGGGTGCAGGTACACATCCAGCTTACAAGTCTCAAGTGGCAAGAAACGTACCTCCCATATTCTACTGCTAACCCACGAGGAAGTCATCTATGACACAATACTCTACTTCTGAATTATTTTATTACTATCTCACCTGTTCACTAAATTCACCCATACAATCTCATTTCTAAGTGATACACAATCTTGTTGCTATCCATCTCCGTTTGACGAGAATGTTCTCATCGATCGTATGTATTCGGTAGCTGACCTTTTACTAATGAACTCAAGTAGGTTACAATTCTACTGACAGCTCACATTAAATTTTTTTATACGTTGTAAACAGCTGATGACATCAAGCTATTCTATTCAGTTTGGTTATTTTTGCTCCACTAAAAAGTAGTTTCATTTGATGCTTCTCTCTTGGAGTTTAGAGACTTTAATCAAAACAGATCAGGTACAAGGTTCTGTTAATTCAGTTGATACATAAAAGTTAGGCATTTGGTCTTGGTTTATTGCATAGGTTAATCAAAAACGCATCAGCCTTTAATTCATAGGTGTCTTTTAGTCACATGACGCAATATAATGGTAATGATTTCATCTGATTATCGAAAGGCATAGTATTTGATATACATAAGCGCACTAGACAAATGTATCCACAATAAGACGTAAATAACATTGAAAAAGGTATCCGTTCTAGTTGGTGGACAACCTGTCTAATCTGTCTATTCAGTTCTCCCAACATTAAACTTTAGAACATTTTAGAAGTGGATACTATATTAGGCAACAGTTTCAAGTTATATTTTGAAGTACAAAATAACGTAATTCATCAGAAAATGAAAACCATCTTACGATCCACATTGTTTTCAGGATTGTAAACAAGTATTCAAGAGAAGTGTTTAGGTTAGCAATAACTTTTAAAATCCTTATTATATCAAAATCATGCCTTAACAGTATTCTGGTGACAGGAATTTCGATCGCTTAAATTCTACTACCTAACACGCTAGATTTGCTGTAGCCTTTTAAAAGAAGGAGAAGTACTTTCTCATCTAATCTAACTTATGATGTGAACGTTCTAGACTGAGTTAAAGTTGTGACTGACAGACATTTCAGTATTAACCTAGACATCATCATTAATGCATCGATAAGAAATGGCTTTTTAAATCACCGCTAAATAATAAACTAGGAAGGTGTTAAATCAACCTTTGACTTACTTGATAAAGTTGTTATAATTTGCAGCATTTCGATTGAGCACAACCCTTGTTAATCGATCATCCCGACGATAATATTCCTGAATACCATCCCACAGAACACCTATCACAGCGATAAAAATAAGAAGGAAAATTACATACAACTAAGTGAGTAAACCAAAGTAATTATGAACACGGTGTAAGGTATATAAAAGTCAGTAATTGAACCAAATTAAACAGATGATAAATATTACCTTTTAGCATAGCTTAAATGAACCGAATGATGAAGGCATTCGATATGATATTCTGTTCAAAATAATGGAACTATGCTTCAATGATCTGGACACTCAACTGCCACCAACTGAATTAGTCTATTTAATTTGTCTACGAAACCTATCGATTCGGGTGAAGAAAAACTTAGCGGACGAGTTCTAATAATATCAGGATGGCAACTAATTGTGGGTATTACATAACTGACAGATTATCTAATCAAAGTACTCCACATCAACCTTACTAATAAAAATAAAAGCCAGTATTCGGGACCAGACAACATGAAATCGGTTTTCCTTTCGTGACCAATCAGTTACGGCCCGAATAGTTCAGTTTTAACGTTGCTGACTACTACACTGATTGGTGTAGGTCCGAATCTCAGGTGAGATATCCGTCCCGTCGGGGTTTCAGATACGCCCTGCTGACGAGTGCTAACAAGTAGGAAACCTAGGTCCACGGCTTCCTGCTGATTACCTCCAACCAACTAACATCTATCAATGTGCACCACAGTGCTGAGCCTCCTAGCTTGGTGGCCACATTGTAAAAGTTATCGATCGAATTCGGTCAGGATTTAGGACTAGACAACATGGATTTGGATCTCTTACGATCAGTCAATGTACAAACTAATTCTATCAAGATAAATGCAGATTATTCATAGCAAGGAGCATAACCGAAATCAAGAACATAATTATTGTTCGACATTCATTCACCCTGAATGTTATAAACTCCATGTATAATTATCGAATGTTAATTGGATGGAGGCTATGGGCAGAAAGCCCTGCTTGATTCAGGCTTTACGCTTTTTGGCACTAGTTAGCAAGGCGTATCTACAACCTAGACAGAACTGATGTCCGGCCCGAGATTCGAACCGGTGTCAGTCAGTGCTGAAGCTAGAGACGTTATAACTGAACTATTCGGGCAGCGGCTGACCTCCTGTAGGACTGGAGTAGATACGTTGGTTGGTTACTGGAAGGTAAACCAACTTCAAGTTGTTTGGTCTTGAATGTTGATCCAATTTCATCGATCATTCTCCAATCTGGCCACCAGGTTAGGCCTAACATCTACCAAAGTGTGTCGCGATGCTGAGTAGCCTAGCCTGGTGGCACTTAGGACTAGACAACATGAAGTTAGTTGCTTTCCAGTGACCAATCAATGTATAATTACCAAATACTTCACATATTGTCAGTTCTGCGAGAGAAAAGGTAGACATCAAAGGTTCCATTACGAAACTTAAGTACGTTTAGTTCAACAAGTAACTATAAGACACACTGGGCAATATAAACGATTTAAAACTACAGTGTCCGTTTTCTGTGACTATCGTAGTTATAGAATACTCTTCATAGTATCTTAACATTGTTATAATGGTATGAGCTTCAAGATAACGCCAAATTACAGTCACTCATCCAAGATGTCTAAGTTGATGTGAGTGAATCTGACTACAAGCATTGTTATAATAACCATAAATGGGTTAAATGACCTCTAACCATTTGATGTGTTTTAATGCTTCAACGATTTTTGTTACAGTTACATTTATGTTTGTAAAATATACAAAGAAATTTGTCCAAAAACCCGAACTAGTACACATAAAGTAACGATACGGTTTAGTACAACAGTTGAAATCAATTCGGAAAAACATTCTTTTAGAAAAAGAAACCCCGGATCATTTACACTATTTATTGTTTACTGGTAAACAAAGAAATCTATCAAAATCAGTTATTGCTTTAATCTACTTTAGAACTTGGCAAATAATCAGGCAATTCAGAAATATTTAAAAATCTATGCTAATCTGCATATTTTTATCTTACGTTTAGCATCTGAGAGACGGCGGAATCCTGAGTCCAGATCAAGGGGAAGTAGAATAGGACAAATCGGATCAAGATCATGGAAATAACGTCTTCTAGCTGTCCCAGAAGAGGAGATTGTTGAATTACTTCCAGAAGGTATAGCATTAGCAGCTGTTTTAGCTTCATATCTACCTGAAGATTTACCATTGTTACTCTGCATTGAATCAGATGATGGAGTGGAGGATGAAGCACATGATGATGATGCAGAAGATGAAGGAGCGCAACAAAATCCACTTGTTTGAACGGCCTCATTACCAGAACTAGATGATACATCATGACAACAAGAGCACATACATGAATGATAGCGTAAGCGTGCTTCTTCAAGAAAAGGATGATTCAATGCATCAGTAGCTGAGATACGCTGACGCTGAAAAAATAATGAAAAAAATTAGTTGTATTTATCAGACTGGATAAATGCATTATAAAGTTTATTGAAGAAAAAAAAGTGTCTACTTACTCCAGCAATGTGTACTTCATCTAAATTACCTACTCACAACAAATTGAAGGTCAACAATACCATTCGCTTATTCAAACTTCTAAAAGTAGAGTGAAATTCGACTACTTAACCTATAAGGTGTAAACCGACTGCATAAACTAATAAGCCATAGTTCTAGAAAAGTATTGAACAATCAGAAATCCCTTTATGAATCTAGAAGAGTTAGTCCTGTAGATTATAGACTGGAAAATGTTGGTACTGATATTGGATTAATAAGTGCTCTTACGTAATTCTTGCACAACTAATCTATGAAGTTCTACAGTCATTCATACGTACATCAGTGCTTTTAATAAGCCCCTAAACTTGGAGAATGGATATAAACAAACCAAAAGTACTGAAGTGCTCAGTAAGATAACTAACATGGATTCACTACCTAGAGATGATGAAATATAGACACGTTAAGTACTGGTTGAGAAGAGTAAATCACACTTAACTTGTATACGGTGAGTAAAAATGAAATAAAATAAAACGTATTATTCAGCACATAAATATAGGACCTAAAAATCCAATTACTACCACTTGATGATCTTCTGAAATCAGGTGAACTGGTATAAACATAGATCCGAATCGGAGGTTACTAGGACTTTATATATTGATTTCAAGTTAGTATTCAGCACGTACTGACATCATTTAAAAAACTATTGAAAACCTGTGGGCACTGGATTGCAGTTTCATCCTAGTATGGGACTCCTGAGTAGTACGCAACCTTGACACCACTCCGTCAGGGATCGAACCCACGACCTTCAAGTTCCAAACTAAGTCAGACTTGAGAACAGTTACTCAACGACAGCGCTATATAGTTAATTGACAGAAGTAACAAAATGCGAACTGTCAGATTCCAACCCGGTGACCCAATGGCAATGTGGTTAGTGCGGAACCTGAAGGTCGTAAGAGCTCGATGCCTAGCGGAGTTACGGGTGCCTATGGCTGGGGAGTCCCATACTAAGACGAAACAACTGTCTATTGCTCGTAGGTTTTCGATGGTTCTTCAGCTGATGTTAGTTCCTGATGAATACCAAATTGGAATCAGCTGACATATATGATGGGAATATGATTGACATTGCGTAAAAGGAAAGTAGATACATTGAAAAGTGAATCAGAAACAAACAAGAAACTGAGAACTCGATGAATACAACCTATAGCATAATATAGATGATGAATTCTCTTCAGATCAATTTACACCACTGAACGTCTTGACAACCTAAAATATTATAACTGTAAGTATTTATATTGTTGTAGGGCGCTTATAGAACGTGAGCAATGTCGTCTGAATAACTCGTTACATAAAGTTTCAACAAAACAGACTATCTATATTGTTGATCTGATAAAACAATTGCAGTAAGAAAAATAATCGTAAGATTCCTTTGCTATTTACTGAATTTAACTTGAAGAATCATAAAAACAATCACAAATAATTAAGACCAAAAATAGGAGAAACAAGTCGTCTGAGGCTCGATGATGGTGATTTCAACCGCTTTTTTTTGCACTAGTTATTTGAGCTAAATAATGGACACATCCATACAGACATATATCATAGTTGTACAAACTCAGACTACACTCATTCCAGTAGTTATAAATTTAACAACGTGAAAGAAAACAATGCATCGTGTTAACTCAACCAACCAATAGGTGAAGAATAAGGAAGGAATAAAAACACTTAAATCTAGACAGTGTATGTCTATAAATGCATCATTCACTTAGGCATTCAATCGACCAGACAAAAAATGTAACCGGTATCGGTACGATGCCTGTCTATGCACTATGGTATATAACGTCCTTAAGCTAGGTGGTTTGTAAAAATGTAATGTAAAATACAGTGTGTTTTAAAGCGAGAAAAGTACCGGTCAATGTGTATTGCATACATACGTGTCTGAGTTTTTGGAAAGCTTAGTTACAGCTAGAAAATGTATGCTGCTAGAGCCATTGCAGCATGAGAAACTTTACCAACTGTTATTAATTAAATGGAAATTTCGGTATTGATTGGAACTACATTATCCTCCGACACGGACAGTAAACAAAGAATAACCGGGAGCAAAACAACCTGTTCTGGTCAACAAAAGAATTTGAACAACCAAACACGATTATTCGGTGCTATTTTTTGATTTACCTATGTCGGCGAGTATTTCATTCCCTTCCACAACAAAGTGTCAATAGCTGGTCACTACTGATCAGTAGCTTGAACCTCCTTAAACCATAGGCCAGCAAGCATATGCTGAACTCCGTGTTAAAGCTTTCAACGTTTTGTCGACTAAATAATTAGCATTTACCGTCCATATCCTTAGCATCTCTAAACATAAATTGGTATAAGAGAATTATGATAGAATTATTCATTTTGGTGTGAAATCTACCTTAACGAATAAAGAGATTCTTCGAAGATCCTATAAATGTAAGCATGAGACCAACTCAAACGACGAAATATTCAGTTTTCAATATTGTGTCAGTAGAATCCAAGATACTCGTTCTGTCATATTTTTAAAGTATCTGTAACCTGATGGTTGTCGATGTTCCCAGTGAAGTTACAACAGAGTAACAATCTCTTCGAACGTTGAAACATTATTTACTGAAGTAATACTGGATTGCTATGGACACCTTCTTCATTTCAAAGAGAATACACTGTTATTACTTCTCAAGCATCAATAGAATTCATTGTCCACTAGGTGTACAGACAACAATTAGAAAGCAAAGTTCTTCTACAACAATTCATTTAGCTGGTTGTGAGTCTGCAAGCTCCTCTCTTTTCAGGCAATCAAAACGAACAGATGTGACTAAGGCTTCACCCCTTCAACTCCTAAAAGTAGACCTTCTTAAGTCTTCATATACCTATGCCATTGATCAAATTAAGAACAGTTTTGATTTTTATACATCTTTATATGCTTGACCAGGTAACGAGGAATATCTTAGCAAATCATTTCTAGACTCATTTGTCAATTTTTAGTAGAGAAATATAAAATGAACCAAGGAACAAGGTGGTATACATCGAACTCTGCTTGAAAAAGCGCAATCAAGTTATACATATCGAAAAATTAAGGAATATGCTATAGACATAAGATTAAGAAAAGCACAAGACTGTTTTGAAACTATGCAGAACGACAAGATGACGAATGGGAGTTTTCTGTCTTTATGAGTCGATTTGTAAACTATATTTTAGTTTCCAGTATGATTGGCTACAAACCCAGTTTATTCGATGATGGAAAATGAGTGCAAGCTGGTACTCATCATGAACTGACATGAATTGGAGAACCATCAGAAACCTGGAAGTACTGGACAGGTGTGTTGTCCTAGCACAGGACGTTTTAACAGTCTGCACCCATCACCCCACTAGGGATCGAACTAAAGACCTTCAAGTTCCTCAGTAAGCATATTGCCAGCGAGCCATTGGGTCGGAATCCAGCGGTCCACATTTGGCTACTTCAGTCATTTCACCATAAGATGCGACCTTCGTCCAAAGAATAACTAAGATAAGCAAACGTTTCATAAGAGTGGTAAATACCACTGTGTTTGGATAGTATTCAGTAAGTAGATGATCAGTGGGAAATATATTTATCCCCAGAAAATTTGCTATACAATAATTTAAACCTTTCCTAATGTTAGACAGCGAGTGTACTGCTATTTAAAATTATTTGATGATCATTTCGCGGGTGCCATAAATACCGTGTACTTTAAAGCAGTTGTTGACCTTCATTGTAACAGTTAGTAAACATATAGGTACTTCATCACCTATTTTCCTTATCAAGTGTCTAGATCAGAAATCAAACTGGTCACAATAACTATATTTGATGAAAGTATTTTCAGAAATGAATGACCAAACTGATCAACACAAACTAATGTAGGCCTTAATTTGCTTGGTGATGACTAGCAGTGGAATTCGAGAGGCGTATCTCATCCTGTCTTGAATTTTTCAGTGAGTGATGTTATTCCCATTGAGACTTGAACCCAGTAACCATCACTTCAATCACCAAGACGTTATCCACTAAACTAATGAGGCATAACAACAACAATCTCTTGTCCAACAAAAAGCTTGTTCATTTATTAACTTACCGGATTAAATTTGAGCATACTACCCAACAGGTGAACAGTCAATTCATTCACATCAGGTGTAAGTGCATAAAGAATAGAAAGATTTGGATCACGTAGTCTGGATGAAAGTACAAAACAGCATGCATCTGGATGACAACTTTCCAAATCTCCAGGACTAGGACTTCCAGTGAGATTAATTATCAACTCTAATTGTTCTAAAGGACTACGAGCCTAGAAAAAAAAATTGAACAGAGGGAAAACAATACAATAATATTAGCAGAAATAGTAACTATAATAAACATTAAATTCTAAAGAATACATTAAACTACTCCACCATTTGTTTCAAAAACTTTCTCCCCAAGAGTGCAAGGGAAGAGTATCATACAAAAAGGTCACTTAAGTGAATTCACAAAACGTTTGCCACAATTCATCACAATAGCTTATATCAATTTAATCAATCCATAGATAACAAAAGATAGTTGTGTTTTTTTGATGGTGTTTTCTCGAAAACTACGAAAAACACTACATCGAACAGAGTGGTCGCCGTCTTCGTATCCGTCTACGTGAACATCAACTAGCAGTGGAGCTTCATGACATATCTTCGCTTATATCAATGCATACGAACAACTGTGGACATGAATTTGACTGGGAAAATGTGAAAATCCTTGACAGGAAATACAAAGAAAGCCAGAAGATTTTTAGAAGCCAGGTATTCAGTTCAGTCAGCAATCAACAGACATATTGACATCGACCCAATCTATCGACCAATAAGACGAAACAACAAGAAGGTCAAATTTCAGGTAATCAGGACAACCAATCAAAGTAAATATAGAAACAGTGACAAAGCCTTGGCAGAAATAAACCATCACAAGGCTTATAGGACAAGCTACTACATCATCTGTAGAGAAAACCCCATAGCTCACTTCATTTCGAAGTATATGCTGAAGACGTTGTCTAGAAGGAGAATGAAAGCTATATGATTGAATTATCTAGCTTACAGAACACAACACCATCAAAATTATCCTCCTGAGGTACAAATATTCTCCATTATCACAGTAATCTTTGAGAAAAGCACTCGGAGCTTAATATAATCATTGGGATCCAGGAAGTACACTTTGTCAGACATTATACCAGATTGGCAATATATCCATATCTAACATCACACGATTCCTCACTTAGTAATTGTGCTAGACACTTGGACATTTGCTACAAAAAGTGCTGACTAAATACTCCTAATTTCATCACCAATGTTGAGCAGACATTACTCAACCATCTCGCTACTGTCAGTGTAAGTTATCAAATAACAAGTAAATGTTCGGTCAACCATCAGCTCACTAGAATTATTATTCATCAGGTAGAACTAGACTCATGTACAACAATAAATACATGAGTAATTTTTGTCTACAATTGCAAAGTTTATTATTATTTCTAAACCTACTTCTGCAGTAAAAACTATACATATGTACGAACCAGAAATCGAAATCCCCAGGATATAATCTGTTGTATTGGGCAAAGAATAGAATACATGAATCTCACATAACCATCATTATCGGTCGCCCTGTTCAACTTATCTTAAAAGGTACTTTACTTATAATTTATTTAGTAATATAACCGTGTCGCTCGGCTCAAAAGCGTTCGATTGACCCTTCATCCACTCTTATTTACTATGTATATCGAAAATAACTGTATGTTGAGTGCAACCGACTATTGTGTCTCATCCCACATTCGCTATGCGTGAAATTAGGTTTCATTTTGATGAAATATGTTGCATAGTGAACAAGAAATTCAGTTGTATGTACAGATGACCAGGATGTCAAAATTCGCAGAAAACCTGGTTGTGAGGGTCGAATATGCAGGACTTGTGGTGTGGGTAAAATGGACAGAGAAGACATGGCAAGCATTTGCACGACTAACTACGTGTAACATGAGGTTACAAGTTAATCGGGTGAGTCACGTGGTTCAGACAGTAACTACTAAGCAGAAATATAACACAACAAATCTTATAACCACCGTTCACGTAATTTCAGTAGACACAATTAGAAATGTATGATGAGAAGGAAAATTGCATCAGTTCAGGTTGTCACACTTAACAGCAGTATACAAAGTAAACGGATAGAAAAAGTGATATTAAAGTAGTAAAATGTATATGCCAGGGGAGGGGATTTAAAAGTTACGGTTAGTCAAAATATTCAGACGTCACAAGACATCAAAGAGTGCACACATTTGTGTTATTTTGATCTGTTTTTAGCCTTTCACCGACAGACTACAGCAATGTGGCCGACACATTTCACTACTTCATTCCTTATGACTAAACTGGGAGTAAGTGTAGTAGAACAGTCCTGGAACATTATCTTACATTTGACTGGCGCTAATGAGACGCATGCCAAACACACTCAGATTTCTGCACAGTGCATCCAGAAGACCTTACACTTTGTCAGTGTCTTCCCCCAGCAGGACAACATCGTCTACATACTCCAAGTCAACCAGATGTCCTTGAGGGATCAGATCAATCCCTGAGAAGTCGGACGTACCTAAAGTTAGTTCCATTTGTACATTTGTGATGAAACTGAATAGGAACGGTTGTCACAATCTTCTATAGGAATATAAAATTGGAAACAGTAGGATAGAATAGGAAAAGAAACAATAGGTGAATAATGAACAGTGAGGTTCCAAACAATTTTCGTGCAGATACCGGGTGTTGAATATGTTTGCACCATCAATTTGGAACATTGCTACAATTCAACATTTACAATCACTGAATTTGAATAGTCTAAAGGGCGAACACTCCAATCACAAAACACATGCTAAGGTCGTTTTTTACCATTGTTCCGCATCAGGAACAAAAAATAAACATCGAAAACCCACTGGCATTGCTACTGATTAAAGAAGAACAGTTGCTCTTCTAGAAGGCTGAAGGTATCATTTATATATATATATATATATATATATATATATATATATATATATATATATATATATGCAAAAGCATACGAATAAACTAGAATGAAAGAGAGAAGGGAAAACCCGTTTAAAGACCTAATAAGCCAGATTTCTGACACAAAATATGTAGATAAACAACAAGGAATGACTAAGTTCAATTAATCAATAAGTGAAGCAAAATAGTTTACATCTTTTTGGACAACATAAGCAGAAATAATAATAATAATAGTGATGACGATACAAATACACAAAAGATATTGGCAAAAAAAGACACAAAAGTGAACGCTGAAAGCAGAAATTACAGTTGTATGCATATTAATAAAAAACAGAACACAATTTAATTGTATACTTGAGTTGTATACCCCTCTTTCTGAATCTCGCAATGATAATTTTTTTTGTCAATTGTAGAAATGCTGAAGGTTCTCTTGCTAACCATTAAAATACTGAGAGAAAGTAAAATCAAGGCGATGAAAGAAGCACAAATTCTTTGCTAGTCTTCTTCTTGGTTTTGGATGTTTACTGAGAGTGAAATGAAAATCTGGGCCGTGGCAGGATTCAAATCAGAGTCACCAACCCTATGCTCTGCTAACCTAATCACGAGGCCCGACTGCTGACCAGATTTTTATTTCACTTCAAACACCAAGGGTTTTGCCCAACTGCTATGTGAATTCCTGATCCGTTACTATCTCCTAATTGTATTCACGCTGGCTCTCCAGTCAACACTTCTCATCCAAATTCAAATCTATTTGAGTTAGAGAAGTGGGATCATCACATTGGTTATCAGTTTAATCATCTGAGATACCCATGGTTCAGCATTTATTTATTATAGTAGGGCAGTGCAGCTAAGCGGATGATGTAACCAAGCAATCATTTGTATGAACTGTGAACAAAAAGTCTTCAGATTTACCTCTACACAAGTCAAATTTATGATGACTAAGATTAGGGAGTCAAGACTAGATCATATCAGAATCTCTTAAAAAAGAATCACTCGTTATATAAGCAGTTTAAGCAATGGAAGTGTAAACGCAATATGGTGCGAAGACCAGTGACTTCAGGATGATGAAAGTGTCAGTTAGCATGGAAGGGAAACAGTTAAACATAACTTGATTGCCAGTTAAGATTTATGAAGGAAAATGTGGTAAATTCTTAACAATTTTTTTAAAAAGTGTTCACATGTTGGGTATCTTTCACCATTGATATGAATTGACATGCTCTATCTATCCAATAGCAAAATCTAGCCTACTGAATAGTGTTTTCAGTTAACTGATCTTCATCGGCTCATGTTTTACACCAATATTATGTGCATTTAAATATCATAGAATTTCTCTAAGATCAATTCACTAACTATTAACAACAGATAAAACTGCTACTTGTATTGTACAGACATGGTAACATAGTTTTACTTCATCCCTAAAAGATCCTACACATAGTACAATGATTTTATTTTTTACTATACAAAGTGATTGAAACAGTTTAGCAGTTTGGGAAAAAGATAACTGTCTCGATTGAAACATTTGTCATGATAAGAAGTGGTAGGACGCAACAAACTGAATAAAGAATATTCTTTTCAAGAAATTCTCATCCGGTTCTACAATTATAAAACGCATTTGTACAGTATGAAATCAAGTCAAGGGCGGATGCACTTTCAAAATGGATTTAAAGACTATAAGGAGATCGACTTTTCTTCTTAAATTTGTCAGTATTGGGATGACATAAATACAGATGAGTAATATGACAGAGAACAAAAAGACAACGAATAACAAAGATAGGAATGACCTTTAGTTTACCGAAGGTCAAGGGAGGAATAACGCTTGAATATGCTCTTTCTGAATGCACAGTCCAAGTTTGATTAACCCGATTGTGATGGCCTCTGTTATGTTGAGCAGGTGTTAGCAAGCTACATATGGTATTGTTTTTGGAATATGATAAATGGCACTGAGAGCTTCATTAGCATCCATATGATGCCTTGTATCTACTAGGTGCGCTAGGACGGAATTTTTCACCATATTTCACTCCGCCCTTTCTGAATCAAGCCAGTAAATATTCTCGTGTCCGGAGACACACCTGTCTAATCGTACGCCATTTACAACTTTTTCCACAGGAGTAGATGAACTGATATGTTCAGGATGAAAAGCTAAGATTAGGTAGGTTATCCTTTAGTCTCGGATCCACCATTGGCCGACTGCTGAGTAATATGCAAAGCCGACTTGCATAAGACGTCCTATTGACTGCCCTAGCTAGGCGTTATGATAGGATGTCAGTTGGAGCCTCTCCCTTCAATTGTAAACGCAGGAACAAATGCTTCCTCTCCAGTGTCATCAATTGTCGTTTACGACCAACGTAATTAATGTTGACTTTGACGACCTCATCCGGATATCGGTTTTCACAGATACACAGTAGTTCTTTTTCCACACACTCCTTGGAACAAATCAACCTTACTCTTAATGCCAGGCACCTGATCATATTCATACTTTTATAATTCGTCGGCACCGAGCTAAGAAAGTATGTATACTGTGCCCTAGATGTCAATTTTCTATGTATACTGCTTAATGTGGAGCGATATTCTTTTCTTATCATTAGCACATCAGAAAAATGTATCAAATCATTGATTCCATTTTCGTATGTAAAATGAACTTATGAATGAGCGCTGTCGAAATGATTTAGAATAGAATTAATGTATATGAGTCATTAGATATTTGAAATCCTACAAGTAAAGTTCAGTATCTAACGGTGTTTATTGTTGAAATTATTATCCTAGATCGACAACTAATTACAACACTGTCACATATAAGATCAACGTAGAAGCTTGCACACAAAAGTACATCGAGGTAGATGGCGGGCGAGTATGTGTAATACTTGTCCAAGCGATATCAGTCGACTAACGTTCATCTCATCAACTGACTTATTTATCTTTCCTAGTACCCTTCCTTGACGTCTACATTGCTGTTCATACAGCGGTGAATCCACCAAACGCTGGCAATGCTACGAAGAAACCTATGATCAAAACGTTGTAACCGGTTCACGTCTTTCACTTTTAACAGCCAATTCTCACAACTGTACCACAGAACAGAACGGACTGCAGCGCAGTATACTTGTGCTTTGATACGCAGTTGGATATCTCACCTGTGGTGCCGACTGGTGGCAAATCCCAAACCAGCCTCACGTATTCCAGCTGAGATTTCGTCAGCAATCAACCCGTTCGAGTTGATACAACTCCCGAAGTAAGTGAAGTGGCCGAGACATTCCACCACTTCACCCCCTATCATTAATCTGGGAGTACTTGCAGCATAACAGTCCTGGAGTATTAGCTTATATTTGACAGGTGAAGGGAAATTCATGCTAAACATACTCGAATTTCGGCTCAGCGCGTCCATAAGATCCTGAATTTTGTCGTCTTTACCTAGTAGGACAATATAGTCTACATACTCCAAGTGAAGTCAGACGTACCTCTATGACGAAGTTGCATAGGAACGGTGACAGTGGACATCCCTGGTGGACACCATTATTTTTTCGTCGATTCTACTGACAACTTTCCATTGTAACTAGACATTTCTTGGCTACAAACCGCCATATACTGTAACTTACCTTTAAAGTTAACGAAGATAATCAGATTGTGGCTGCTATGAAGGATAAACGATTTAGGAGATGGAAACAACTTTAAACAAAACACCCAGTGAAATTAAAATTGTCAAAGCTTACCGGAAACAGGATACGACGACCTAGTAGTTCAGCAAATGTACACCCAACACTCCAAATATCTACAGCATATGAATAACGTGTTGCTTCCATAAGTAATTCAGGTGATCTATAATATTGTGTAACAACTTCTTGTGTTAAATGAGCCTCTCCAAATGGATCATCAATTCGTGCCAAACCGAAATCACATATCTAGAAAATGCATTACAACACAGTCCATTATAATTTAAGAATGAAAAAAAAGACTGTAATTTTATTTTGAAATTAAAACTACTAGTCAATATATGCCAACTTCTTCTATTTCAATAACAATACCATGTTAACATGGAAAGAGAAACACATTTTGTGTAAACATAAGCAAAGTCAGCTACACGTCTATTCAGGTGTTTATCAGGCTAATTAAAAAAACACATTCTACATGAAAACTAACCATGTGGCTTAATCAATTAGAAATCAACATGGTGATACTGAAATTGGAACCTAGACATATGTTACTTATAGAATATATATATATATATATATATATATATATATATATATTTATACGATACTAGATGATAATTAAAGGTGAAATGAAAATCTGAGCCACAGTAGGATTCGAACCAGTGATCTCCAGACCACTGGTTAGGTGGAATAGTTGGAATATTATACTAGACTGGAGCAATGAAACTCATGAATCATGTACTTATTCATGTATGTACTATCATCACTACTACTGGCTATATTATCATTATTATTGCTATCAGTTGCTTGAAAGAAAACCCTAAGCATCAACAAATCTTCGGAGCAACTTGAAGTATTAGCAAAGTGAAGTAATAGGAAAGTGAAGATCAATTAATATAGGCAGGAAAGCCTAAATGTAAACAAAACCACTTGTTTGTTGCGTGTTTTCAACTTTCATCCTACTATTTATAATATAGAAGATGAAAGAAAACCTAACCAGGATAATTTCTGACCTTGATTTTAAACTATTGGATTTTATTGTACTTTGCTTGGTTGTGACTAGCAGTGGAATCTAGGGAAAGCGCTTCGTCCTATTTGGGACTCATCAGTTGGATGTAACTATCTAGGGCATTGCCGAAGAAGTTATAATCTGTGGCATCACATTCGTACTTCTTTCAAGCAGTCAGAGTAGTTGGGTGAACAGTGTCCGGTATTATAACGATGACAAATGGATGTGTAAGTCCTAGTTATCGAAGCTGATGACGAGTAGCTGACAAATAGCTTCAACAGTCGGAAGAACCCCTTTCACATTTAAACACATGCCATCAATTACATAATGTAGCTATTAAATACGAGCAATACAATGGAAACGATGGTGATCAAAAACAGTGCTACCGGAGGTATTTATTCCACCCCAAGATGATAATAGAACTTTAGTTTGGCATAGTATTTTGAAAAATCCACTTAGTTGCCTAACTGCAAACCATTTTTGTTAAAATGACAACTGTAGATATTCTGGTTCGTAACCTTTATGGTATTTGATGATAATTTCATCGAAACATGATGTTGAAAGAAAATAAATCGTGATCTGTGTGTACCCACATTATCTGATCAACGGTGAGTAAGATCGCATTATTCTCTCAAAATAACTTTTCAATATATGCGAACACCCATCTCGCAGATTCAAGTTATGAGTTAGCACGTTGGTTTCTGTCTAGTGAGTTTTGCTGAGATCTTTAGTTGATAACAGAACTCATATAGGATGTAATCGATGAGAGGGTATGTAGAGATAAAACAAAAAGATCATTTATTCTGTCATTTTCTCTTTACTCTAGCTGGATGTTTTAGTCTAAAACCACACAAGACTGTTTTAAGGAGGATCTTCGACTTCAGTGCACAGTACAATAAGCATACCAGAAAGACATGTTGGTGTTATATGTTTAGTACAGTAAACACGTGAGAAATTCTGTTTCCCTTGAACACTAACATTTGTTCTTTCTCCTTTCCAGGAAAACTAACAAAGTAGTGAGGCTGTGAAAGCCATCTAATCTTGAATGATTGGATTAGTTTCAGAAGTGTGATACAGCAACTGTTTTGAATGTCAAGAACATATGAGTCCCAGGTTCACCAATTTATTCATATTGGTTGAAAGCATGCTGAAATGTTCCAACTGGGGGTCACACATAATAAGAGAAGGTGTGGCTACTGTTCAAAACAACTCTAGACTACTAAACACAAATATACGCTGCTTTAAAGCATACAGTAAGACTTTATGCTGCAGGCGCTTGAAACTGTTCAATATTCGATTAAAGTTTCATCAAACTCTGTCGAACTTTTTCCAAACAAAGAAAAGTCACTTGTTGTAAATCCACTTTTTACTACTCATTTTCTGCCTTCTAGATTTAGATAGAACTTGAAACAGCATTACTGATTACGGAATAAATAATAATACACCAGTAATCTGCAACTCTAATTCATAGTAATCAACATATAGCGTTGTATAGAAATCGAATTTCGACAAATTTACCACTCGGTCAATTGTAAAGTAAATAATAATTACTTACTTTCAGAAGGCAGTTAGAATTTACTAACATATTTCCAGGTTTTATATCACGATGAATAATTCGAGCTGAATGAAGATACTTCAAACCTAAATTCAGTGAAAAATAAACACACTATATACTTTCCTTTTCCAATATATATTACCTAAAGAAATGAATATATTCTCAATGTAAACATGATGATACATGCACACATACCAGGATGAAACAGCTGTCCATTTCAGTGCTCTTAGGTTTTCAATGGTTCATCAACCAATGTCAGTCTATGATGAATACTAATAAGAACTGTCTACAAACCTCAAAAAAAAACTGTTACACCCTATTATGACATACTACTTGCTTGATACACACCTAGGCTGTCTGTATCAAGTTTATCAAGTCTTAAATTAATAAATAAGAGTTAATGTTGGTCGACAGTTTTCATAATTCTTCGCATAGCGTGAGTGAAATAAATTAGCTTTCAATGTTATACTTTCCTAACTTCAACAAAGTTTTAAAGTTCATATTAATTAGGTCATAACGTTAAAAGGCTTACATCGAATACAAAATTCAATACATTTTTTGATTGAAGTAATCAATTTATCATGAATCTGTTAGAAAATACTTAGGTTGAATTATGTTTCCATTTTCTATAGAATAAATAATATTGTAGGTTTTCACCTAATCATTACTCATATCTAAAAACGAAGCTGAATAAAAGACTAATGGCCTATACAACTTAGTATAAGCAAACATGCTGAATTTTTGCTTTTTTTTTATCATTTTAACAACGTAGATGATTCCCTATCGGCATATGAATCGTTTGAGACTAATTTACTCGAAAATCATAATTAACAAATACCTCACTGCATTTTAAGACCGCACATTGGCAGTATACTAAAATACATTTATATATATATATATATATATATATATATATATATATATATATATATATATATCACAAAGAATTACAAGGATTTCGGGTGGTAAATTTTTCACTACTTCAAAAGTGAATGAAGCAGCTGATTATAACATGATAACATCCTGTTGGCAGTGAATTAATACCCGAAAATTGGTCAAATAAATTTCCAAGACTAAATAAATAATAAATCTTAATACTTTACATCACGAACGTTAATCTTCTCCTAGACAATAAACTCTATTGCTCTGTGTTCATTTATATAGATTCATATATACAGAATAAAATTCACTTCAGTTACTACTAGCACGTCACTTCAAAAACAGTTACCGTTAGTTTGGTGAAAGACATCTACATTGAAGTGATACAGTTATAATCTTAGATATCCCATGTTTATCTGTTTTAGAAGAGCCTATTCAAATACCCGACAATGATAACCCTTTGATTCTAATTCTATATGTGACAATGAGATATCTATACTTATCCCAGTTTAATTATCATTTCGATTCGTCAAAATAGATTTTACATCCATCATTTTAGTAAGGCTTTCAGGGCTCTAAATAGCACTTTTCACCTAATCACAGTAACGATTACCAGGAGTTAATGCATCAGTATGATTTAGCAATAATAGCATTATTTAGAGGAAGTGTTATCTGCCTACTAGACGTCAAAACAAAACAATATGACACCTATTTATATACGTTCATGAACTAGACTTTGAACCACATCTATTATATGATAGGAGATAGTGCTACTACTGAGTTACCCACACTTTCATAGGTGAACTGAGGCATCAAACTACAATCCACTGGATAAACCACTTAACGAAAGTTTAACCACTCATAACGAAATAAACAGTTCACATCTCAGAAACAAAAGAGCTTGTTAACCAAGTGTATCTATAGCTATGCAAAAACTGCAGTTCTCTAGACTACTCAGGTCTGTCTCACTCAGTGCCCAAATCATAGACTTTGAAACTAAGTTATTCAGACCACAACTGGCCATCCCCTCCCAACTGTAGGTTTGGGTCAAGTAATAATAATAATAATAATAATAATAATAATAATAATAATAATAATAATAGTGGTTTTATTCTACGAGATATTTCACAAATACTGTACAGAGTTTTCAGTATACCATATAGCATCAATTGGACAGAAACAGTTTACATATATGACTGATAAAATGAAATAAGTAGGAATTACATATAAAAGTGTTTACTCCATCTACAACCTTTTTGGGAATCCAGAGTGAACCAAGATAAACAGTCACATTAGCAATTACATTCTTAGCACATAAATAACAGCAAACTGTGTACTCTTCAATCAGTTTGTTCTAAAAAGCACAAAAGTTTATAAGTTAGTTCACTTCTAACACTTTCTTCCTCCCACAGCATACGAACTAAATACAACATTGTGGAGCTTCTATATTTAGTAGTATGTGCATAAAGTCTTATATACTTGCCCGTGATCTCGCCTGAGGATCGACAAGTAGAAAGCTGTGAAGGAAGAGGATACTGGTCATCTGGTAAAATAACTCTTATCAGATGTTGACGTGAGTTAAGATGTTTGTCTACAACAGTTTCAATTAGAAAGTTTGAAGGTACATCCCTAATTCTGCCGACAATCTTCAAAGCTCTACCCGATACAACATAGTCCTTTTCCAATAAGGCAGGAAAGAATAAAGAGGAAGAATCGAGGCGAATAGGCAAGATGCAGGAGTTTATGAAAGATAAGAGAAGCGTTTGAGTTATAGCAGATACTCTTAGCTTCCTAAAATGGTAAGTTAGACGGAATATTCTTTTGGAGATTAGTAAGACATGGGAAGACTAGGAAAGGTCGAAAGAATAATGCCCGACGAGATAAATCACGCTTGTAGCATTCTCTAATACACAGTGGTCAGCAGAACAGGAATCATAAGACCTAAACAGTTTACATAGGTTATGCTCGAGTCTGACATTCTGAAGAACTAAGCACAATACCAGTTACCGAGGATTATCGTCTAACAGTAGACAAGAAATCGCTGAGTTGCAGACAATCTTTTGACGAAGAAACAGGTATTGAGAGTGTCATATCATCAGCATACTAGATAAAATTGATACTAACTGTAAACGAATCGCTCAGTAGTGGACAAGTTGTGTAACCATTTGACCACTAATGATCAGCACTTGTCGAGGTCTATCGATCAAGTTTAACTTAATCATGAATAGAGTTCTTAGTATTAAATGAAAGAGAAAAAACATAGTTACATCGTTAACCATTGAGCATGGCTAACAAACTGTCTATTTGACAGATACAGCTAAACTGGTTTGCTTATTAGGACAAACTATGCTACACAAGTCCGCATTAATTGTATTCATCAAAGGTCAGTGGAAACGAATAATACTAGACAGCTAAAATTCATATTATCAAACTATGGCAACTGAAATTAAACATTAACTTTAAAACACATTTTAACTGGCGTAAACAGTAATCAAGGTATACTGGCATAAAATTCAGATTAATACAGACACGGAGATGACATTACGAACAGAAGTTTGTGGTTGCATTATCTATTTAACGCAGTCATATGTATGTGTCATAATATTTCCACTAATAAAGAGGTAACACAATGAAAAATCCAACTTTGAAAACCAACGGTTATGCATTCATGACTAGATGCCACATTCATCGTGACTGATGGAACAGATCACGTATTCCTAGGTGGTGGGCGCTACTGGTGTTCTTGAGGAAAATTATTCACGGATATAATCCTATTTAGTTCCCTTGGAAGTGTATACATATATGAAAACTAGTGGTAGAAGCAAACACAAGGACTATAGCAATAACAAGCAACAGAATACCAACCCAGAACCTTGTACACAAATCCATTGGTTCAAGCTACCACACTTCACAGTACCATACAAAAAAACAAATGGGTAGAAAATGACTCACTTCAAAGTAGACAAAGTTGTATGACAGAATAAACAATTTGAAGATGACGGTTGGTGCGAATATTCAAGATTTAGAAGACATCAAGGAGTGAGTACATCTGCGTCACCAACAGTCCTCAACCACTGATTCTTATCGTTCCAAGGACCCCAGCCAGGTAGTCTACATTTCCCTAGACGGCTAAGATCAACATGTAGGGACTTTATCGACTTGGCCTAACCACCACCAACCCACTTCCTACTTAATCCACATCCCCGCAGTATTGCACGTCGAAGTAGACGGTGGATCGGCATGAGCAACACATGTCCAAGCCATCTCAGTCGACTAAGGTTCACAACCCAATCAATCGACTTGCTTGTCTTACCTAATGTCCTTCACCTGACCTCAACACTGCTCAAACAAAAGTGATTCCACCAAACGTGAGCAATGCTACGAAGAAACCTATGGTCAAAACGCTGCAACTTCATGCCTTCTACTTTCAACGGCCATGTCTCATAGCCGTGTAACAGGACAGAACGGACTGCAGCGCAGTATACTTATCCTGTGTTAGACAGTCAGATATAGAACTATAATAAACAAAAAACAACTTATTTTCGAGTGACACCTCTGTATATTAGCTATAAACACTTTGAATACGTCACCCATGCCTGCGTTCGAATGTGAATTGTACAAATTATCTACTTTACCTTGCATACACATAGAAATGATTAACTGAATACCATTTAAATTAAAATAGGCTACAACTAGTATTTGTAAGAGTCTCTTGAGGATATCACTAGTATTATGTGCAATAAGAAAAGGGGTACTATTTAGCTACATTTCTACTATCTGCTACTGTGTGCACGATAGATATTATTTAACCTAAACATGGTGTTCAACTATGTTTTCATTTCAGAATGCTGAATCGATTGTTATTGAAATAGATGCAGGATCTTATTAATTGTCGACAAAACTATAGTGATATCTCATCATCACCCATACAAAATTCTTCTTATGACAATTTATTGTTCATCCTTCATATATCCAAATTGAGTCGTGAAACCTAATCCGAAGTATGTTAATGGGATGGAGGCGATCGGTAGGAAGCCCTGCTTGACATGGGTTTCATCCTTTTTAGCATTCATCAGCAACGCAAATCTGCAGACTAGATGGAACTGACGTCCGGACTGATATTCGAACCGGCGTCAACCAGTGCTTCAATCAAAGACATTACCACTGAACTATTCGGGTCGCGGTTGACTTCCTTTAGGACTGGTTAAGTACGTGAATTGGTCAGTGGAGGGTAACCAGCTTCATATTGTCTGGTCCTGTGTATTGATCGAGTCCTACCGATCCGAAGTATCTCACAACTTGACAGGAGATGGAGAAAGCTCATAATGACCGAACACTGTTTTCAGCAGTTTTTATATCCACTGATTGTTGGTAGTCCTAATTTGTATCAGTCATGCCTATTTTCAATCAACTGGAATGACATACTTCCAAAGACTTAGTTTAATTTGTGACTGCCTATGTAAAAGTATGCATCAATCAATTATGCACTATAGAAAGATAATTGACTCACCTCGTAATATCTGGTAAACAAATATCTTGACATGATCCAATGATAAAGGCTGTGGAGAGACAATGATTTTGTGCAGATCCGTTTGCATTAGTTCAAACAAAAAGTAACTGTAGCAAATTGTTGGTTAAGGTAACAACACAGATTCAGTATTGAAAGTGTAACTATCAAATTACAAGCTAATCTAACATAAAAATTCGAACAATAACAATAAGGTCTGTTCGTTGGCTTATTAAGAATACCTCTTTAACTCCTTGAATCAAGTTCATTCAATCACCAATGAAGGGGAGTCAAGAAATGCTTGAAGCAGTTGGAGCAAATGGACTATGATTAAGGATTCGGTCGAAAAGTTGATTGTTCTATGATCTTTACAAAGAAATGTATCCATGGTTAGTTAAGAGCAACTGTTAAGAAATAGACAGGATATTCGACAGTGGCTGCTGGAGATACTGCTTTTTTGAAAACATTCTGCAGCAGCGCGTGCATTTATGCTTCATCTCCTCCGTTATTTAAATCTTGAAAATTACACTATTCGATATGTGTTATTCCTCTTTTCATTTTTCTTCCGTTGTCTTTTAATCAACATATCACTGGATCCATTCCCGTGTTTTATTTTGTTGATTGCCTCTCTCTATACTTGCTTAATATGTGGTAACTTAAACTAAAGCAACATTGTGCTAGGTGATGGTAGTGACGGACGGTGACTAGCAGTAGAACCGACAATGGGTGTTTCATCCCACTTGGGACTCTCCAGATGGGTGTACCTATTTCGCAGTAAGTGATATTTTCTCCAGGAACCCAGGACTGATCACTTAAAACGCCATAGCATTTTTCACTGGATCGCTCAGTCATGATAGTCACTCATTATGAAATGGGTATAAATTTTACGTTTTGTTATTCCGAACTGAGAAGGCCGACTGGGGATATCACGCGTCAGGCCAGTTGCTCGAGTGGAAGCCAGATAGGAAGCGACGAGTTGGACGTCCGAGGGTGACATGGAGGAGGTCGTGCAAGGAGGAAATGAGAGCTTGTATGCTGTCGTGCTACCAGGTTCAAAAGATCTCAGAGAACAGAAGTCACTGGAGACGTGCTACTGAAGCCCTATGTTCCACTAGGAACCCAAGGGACTAATAATAATAATATTCCGAACTGTTTATGTAGTCATAGAGGTGTAAAAGCTAAATCTAAATAACTAACTACATGAACATAACAAACAGGAGGTGAGAATGATATCATGATCTTCGCCGCATCCATATACATTAAAACTAGCTTAATATGTATTAACCAATCCTCCTTTAGGCATACTGTATGTAGTTTCAGGGGCCCACCCATTTCATCCAAGAGTCCACTTTACCTTCCTTAGACACGAAGATGGCAACGCTAAACCTTATGTGTGAAAGTGTAGATGGGTGCTGATGATGGGTTTCCTTTACAGCAAAAATTTGTTTACCGTTTCCATCATCATATTGTTTTTTCTAATGCTTCCCACCGAATAGGCGGTAAACTACTACTTGGCGTATACAATTTTTTTCACAAAACATTTAGACAAACAAAATACTCTAGCTAGCCAATAGTAATAGGGAAAGACTATGAACAAAGCATGCTGTTCATCCGACTGTTATTTTACCAAGCACACCCACATTAGAAAAAAAGTAGTCAAACATCAATACAAGTTGACCTTAAATATTTTGCAGAAAGGAGGGAGGACTAACTTGTATATAACAGAGGATTGGATGTGACCTTAGGGAGGTGGCTAAGACATGTGAAGAACAAGCAGACGAAGAAGAAAAGCTTATTAGGACGTGAATGAGTCATGGGACTAGAAACAGTTGAATAGTAAGTAAGCAAATCTAGCTCTATAATAAATGGATACAGTTTCCCTATACGTGTGTGCATTGAAGATAAAGCAAATATAAGACAAAGAAGGTTAACTCTACTGTTTATTAACTAAGTACTGCTTACATTAATATAGGCTTCAGTTTGTTGTTGTTTGATACTTGTAATTTCCCGATGCTATACCAGATCGAATTAATCGACCGCTGTTGGCAGATGTGCTCCTATGCGGCTGTCTCATGATGTTGTATTCATCTAGGTGACTAGCAGTGGGATGCAGGACGTATTTCTCATCCTATTCGGCACCCATCAGCTGAGAGTACCTTCACCCCAGTGAGTGATATTATTCCCACTGAGACTGGAACCCAGTACCCATAGTTTTAAACGCTAAGGCGCTACCCACTAGGTCACTGGAGCACGACAGCCACCATTTATCTAACGGGCATCATTTGTTGTTGTTTGATAGTTCGATCCTGTATAGTAACAGGAAATTACAAGTATCAGACAACAATAAATGATACTCGTTGCACCAGTGGCTTAGTGGATAACGCTTTGGTGTTTAAAGCAATGTGTACTGGGTACCAGTTTTCAATGGGAACAACATCACTCACTGGGATGAAGGCACACCCAGCATCCTAGATTCCACTACCAGTCATCAAGATGAACAGACTTCAATTTTTTTGAAAAATTCTCGTTATCTGAGATATTGGAGAGATAATTAAGCAGTACTGTAGTAACCGTCCTGACTTCAGTGGTCGAGTAGTGCAAAAATAGCACGATTTTCTGCAAGTTTGGAAATATACCTCTCTGGTAATTGACAACAAACATAAAATCAAGGCAAACAACTTCCTATCAGTCGACTTCAACACATAGGACTGAATTATAAAAATGGTTTGATAACCCTATATCCATATCCTAAGGGTGGTAAAAAGCTCGCTCTCATAACTAAAGAGTAGAGACAGAGTAGGCATCAAATCCACTGCTAAATTAATGTTAAAATTGTATAACTTTTGATGATGTATGTTAATGCTCGACTGATCATGCCATCTTGTAAAGGATACATTTCTTCAAAGTTCAAATAACTTTCTGACTTGACAACATCGATCAAATTGACGATCTGTAATGATAAAAAGAAACCCAGATGAATACGAAAAGAATAAGATATATTTCACTGAAATAGAAAACAAAACAGTTTCAACAAGTGAAAGCTACTGAATTCAGTACAGTTGTTTGACCAACAAGGTTCCTTCGTAGCGTAAACCGTATTTCATGGTGTCACCAGGAGTCAGGTGTAGAATTTTTTGGGAAGGTGGTGGGAGAAGAAAGTCAGTTGATGCAGTTGTGAACCCTCGTCGACTGAGATAGCTGGAACATGCGTTACGCATATTTAGTCACCGCTTGCTTCTTCGCGCAGTGTTAGCTGAAATAGGTTCAAGCTGGGAAAAGGCTTGAGGCACGGGATTAAACCACGAGATCAGTGCATGAAGTCTTTAAATGTTGATCCGAGCCATGTAGAGAGATGTAGACTAGTCACTTGGGGTCCAAGGGACAACAGAAACCAGATGTTAGAGACTTCAGGTGATATGGTGGCTCAGAACCGATGTCAGTGGCGCACATGTATCCACACTTTATCTTCATCTTAACCACCATATTGAATCCATGATTTTCTCATTCCTCCCTTCCGCTCTTTTACTGCCTTCTACTGCTTCTGACCGATTATTCTTTACTTCATTATCTTTCATCTTATTGCTTTGTTACTTGATTTACTGATATGAGAAGTGTCGTAACTTGGACCACTATACAGTATCCGGTTATTCAGTCTCCAAACATCTTTACAACGATCCTCACCAAAGACAACAGTCACGTCGTCACACAGGTTACAAAATTTGAGGCATCTGGTCTAAATATAGAGTGACAGACTAGGTAGATACTGCTACACAGTTGCACTTACACATACTATAGTCGATATATCTAAACCATGGTGTGGACAATCTTGAGAGTCACTCATTTTCGCCACAAACAAACAGATTAAAGTAGAACCACGTACAGAAGTTCATCAGTTCAGTTTGTCTCAATTGACAATAGGAAAAAAAGGAAATGAACACAAACAGAATCATTTTAAGAGAAACAAAATGGAATATGATAAGTGACAAAATAAATAAACTAAGGTGAAACATGTTGCTAACAGTCACCATTCACTGATTTCCAACATCCTGAGACCGCTACTAAAGCAGACTAAACATCTTCACATGATTCAAACTAGCTGATAGAGACTTCATGAAGTTATGCATATGTTAGTCTTGCCACTCTTAGCTGTCATACAACTTTAATGTACCTCAGCTGACACTACTTGTCAGAGAAAATATCCAGTTAGCATGCGTAACATGGGCTTCGACCCCCTCGAACAGTGAAGGTTATCAACCTCATCTCTTCAGCTGGTCACTTTACCTAGTACTCTATGTCAAACTTCAACAGCGTTCAATCTGCGGTTCTAACATGTGCAGACAACATAATGAAAATGCCTTTCTATGATCAACAACCTATTACTCTCTCATATCTTCAATCTTTAATTGGCAGAGCTCACAACTATAGAGAAAGAGGGAAATTTCGCTACAGTATAAAACTTAAATCACAGTCTCTGAGATGTTTACAAATTACTTTTGTGATTCAATGATGAGTGTACTTAAATCTTTAAAAAAAATATACTTTTCATAGAAGTGGAACATGTTCCATAGAAGTTAACTGACACTGCTCTCAGAGGTGCTTACCTATTTAGTTGTATGTTTTCAAACGAAAAATAGTTATACCACCCTCTATTCAAAACCTGTAATGAGGGATATGATAACAGTGAGCCACTCTCAATGAAGTTACAACTGTAAACCAGGAATTGAGTCAATTATAAATCTGATATTCCATACAGTGAAGAACTAGTAGTATCTATGAATACAGTTCATTGTCACAATGCAACTTTTAATCCTGATAGTTGGGTAATGAAGAGTACATGAAGCATGTGAAAATCTATTTTATAACTCTGCTAAATAGACTGCTGGATAAAACTAGCCTAAATAAGCTTCAAACTCTTCCAATAAAAGGTTCATTCTCCTGAGTGTCTATAAATTTCAGGTATACTATCCACTAGATAGTACCACCCTAGGCCTACCCCTTCTCATCTCTTTCATTATCAACCAAATGATGTAACAGGTAGACCAACCGATAATTAGCGTTCAAAGTTTGTTTAACTGTTAAACAAAGCAAACTCCAACTATATTCGACATAAAATTTGTTCTATTAGACAAAAAAAGTCAATTCCTGAAGAGCTCAGATACTGATAAAAGGATTATCTAAGGTAAACATTTGTAATTGACTTTACTTTACCTACCTGAACAATTTCCAATTAATGATTCCATAGAATATTTTTCACTGCATAAACTGAATGTAATTAACCAGTAACTTGGCATAAATTTCAATTCTTAACTAGTATGAGCTGCTACATAAAATAGCTAGCTACGAAGTGATCTCTACTTAAACCTCATATATTTACCGTTAAATATAACCACAAACTGTATTCACCAAACCACTGATGGACATGAGAATATTCTTGATATCCAAAAATGAAGAATGTCCCCAGGAAGTTAATATTTCTTCCAGTATAGCATGATGAAAGAATACTTTGACACAGTGAGTTGGCTTGTATATCACCATTACCTGACAAGCTATGATTGTGAGAACATTTGTTTCTGGAGGTCCTACAACGTCGGTACTAATCTACTTTTAGGTATCGGATCACATAAAATAGACACATCTAAGTTAGAATTTCTTTCAGAAATGATTGAAGTCTAACGGTTACAATGTCTATGGTCTCCACTTGACTAACTAAAATAACTCGTCATCGCTTTTACAAAGTGGAATAAAATATAATTCGGGGATACATATTTATGTACCCTCTTAAACAGTGAATTTGTGACTAACGAACATGATATTTGAAATTATACCTCGTGGGACTTTTCTAGTGCTCTGGGGGAATTAGGCTCAAAGTTGGAACTTATACACTGGCCTTACTAAAATTTAGTCTGTTGTAACCACTTGATTATTTTAAGTCGGTAATGTCCCATTACTCAATAATGGCCGAATGTACTGTGCTACACTTCACTCTCCTCTCTACATGCCTATGATATGCGGTAATTAAAAGTGAAAAATATCAGACAGTTTTAAATTTTCGACCACCATTGTCTTCATACCACAGGCCATGTGTCGTGGGACGTTAGTAGCACGGAATTCAGACCTAGAATTTTAGAGAGAATGGGAAAATCAGTTGATGGAGTTGTGAACCTTCATGTGCTACACATGCCTAGCTGCCGTCTGTTACACAATGTTATCTGGAGTGGATGCAGGTCGGAAGGTGGTTAGAGGCGGCCAGACTAGAACGTGGTGTCAGTAGTCCCTGAAGCACCTTACTGTTGGTTTGAGCCATGGTACGGAAAGGTAGACTTCCCGGTTAGGATCCACATGACAAGTGGAATCGATGCCTGGAGATGTGGCTCACAATTGGTCTCAGTAGCCCAAATCCATTTAAACACTATCTTTATCCAAGTTTTCATACCGAATAATATTGCTGTTTTATTCGTTCTTTCACTCATTTTACGACTTTGAATCACTTCTAATAATTTTTTCCACATTTCCCCATCATTCACACTCCGAATCGTTATGCAGTAATGTTAGATCGTAGGTTGACAGAGACTTGGCAAAAGCGTACCGAGTGTAGTTTGATCACAGAAAGCAGATCAAAGAATCGAATCCGCTATTTTGAAGAGGTTAGCTAACACAACATATGCCTAGATTCTTTAGTCTTTGAGCACATGGAATGGATACCTTAAGATATAAAGCATTACTTTAGCTAACTTATTTTGTGAAGCCCCAGAAAAGTTACATGTCTATTAACGAATACTGGTCCTATGCTGGAAAGTGCCTGTAAACTTGATGAGTAAAGAAACTGAAAAGGTAGTAAATTTCCCTTGTAAGTATATGACCAAGTGAACTGTTTTCCAGCCTCACATCTTTAAATTAACGCGGTGCTTACAAGCTTCATGCATACATGTGTATATCTTCAACTAAGAATAGCAGTATGAAGTCACCTGTGTATACCTTATTTCATAAGATAAACAAATGTAAGCAATTAAAGGGATCAAACATGAGATACGTTTAGTGATGCAAATTTTGCGAATAGGAGAATAATGACAAAAATCTAGCATGAAAAATAATAAAATATGCATAATCCATTGACTTACATTTTCATGTTTAAGACAAGAAAGCATTTTCAATTCTCGATGAACACGTTTCGCCGTAATAGGATTATGAAAAACACGTGGTATTCGTTTGAGTGCCACTTTCTGACCGTCTCGTGGATCGATAACAGACCTTGAATTAATCAAAAAATAAAACGTAGAGAAAATCACTTATCCACTAGTTCCAGTGTAACAATATCTCTAGATAGCTTAAATTGAATTATTAAAGGAAAATAACTGAAATAACCAATACTGACCACATACTTCTGCATATATAGCTGTGATGTGACTCATTGGTTTAGAGAGATGACTTTCAACCGATAGTTCACGGGTTCGAACATCGCTCCACTTGCCAACGTTTGGGCAGGTAGTATCATTAGTCTCCATACAATAGGTATGGCTCGTTGTCTACTGCACGAATGTGTACAACGTTTCTGAATACATTCTGATTCAATTCTCGTGCATGTCGTTTATACATTTTTACAGTGAGATTTTGAGGATAATGACCACATGTGTTTAACAAGAAAGTATATAGCCAACTGGGTACAAATCAACAAAAGTAAGCTAATAATCAGCTATGATGCCAATCGAAGCCCGCATACACCAACCAGAGAACTTTTTTTATTTAAATCCCAAAAACATAAACGTTACGCTACTGCTAGTTGCACACACTAGATGTACATTTAAACAAATGTCGACAAAACGATGAAATCGGTTGAAGTTGTACTTGTCCATCAAATCAACTTTATCAAGTCGAGCTGGTTTGAACAAGTCAGATTGCTAAATTGTAAGCAACACTGGATTTATAGATGACAAACGCTAAGAGTTTTGCCATCCTTAATTGAGTTGTTGAACTGAATATTGTCCAATAGTTTATGCTCGTAGTATAAAAAAAGAAGCACATCAATTTGAATATGGATAAAGTTACACTTGAATTTGTTGGATAAATTTGTATATTTTTGTCCTGAAACCGTCCTACATGCAAGTACTAAATTTAGGTCAGGTAGTTGTTCAGCTTTGTACTGTAGTTAGTTCTCAAAATAATACCGAAAAACAACTGAATATATAGATGTATCCCAGACCAATTGTCAAAATATAACTGAAACCTTATTACAAGCAATATACACTACAGTTTAGAAATAATATTGATAATGAACAATTTAAACACCATGTATCAGCTGCCATTACTTTTGATGACTATTGTTTGATATATGGAGCATGCCAGTAAGAAGTTAAGGATCCAGTACTCCCCTCCCCTCCCCTCCCCATCCCCGGATCAGTAGTGCTACTCACAACACGATATTATTTGAGTTACACTCACCATTAATGTAAAGAGATTAAGGCATAACTATACAATGACCAGAAACGCAGTGAAATTCCAACAACCGTCATCGACAAAAACCTGAAACATATCATACAGTTTTACAGCTAGACCATCTATTAAAAGTACCGGACTTCGAAAACAGTTAGTTCTCCTATTCCAGAAGTGTTATTATTGGACTAGTGGACAGACTTCAGTGAAACTGCGGCCTCACTTTCTTTCTTACCAACCTTGTTAAATTTGATATTGAAAAAAGGATATTCTCTGTCATTCTGTCGATAAATTGGATGCAAGTATAATCATTGACTACGTTAGTAATTAATTAAACATGAGGCATGGAAAAATCGCTTTGTTGTCTTCAGTAGTGGTGGGTGACAAAAGCATTAAGTCCTTTTTATTGAGACTCGTAGATTAAAAATGTGAAACACACAAACTGTCTTTCAAATGTTTTCCTAGTCAGTAATTTCCACTTTTCAGTTATTACATTGAACCAACTTCAAAATATAGCCCAGTAACTATACAAAATACAGATACCCTAACCCTAACCAATCCAAGTTCACCAAAATGCCACACTTTTATCTTATCCCAATGGTTTGCAATGTCAATGGTGGCCAGACGAAGACGTGACGTCAGTCAGTGAAATCTCTGAGCGTTGGTCTGACCTGTTTGTGGAAATTTAGGCTTCCAGGTTAACAATGCACCAAACAAGCGAAACTGATAGTTGTAGGTTCTATGTGATGTGATGGGTGAAAACCGATCGCCTTTCAACTATTAGGTTACATTTCGCCATTTACTTAAACCCCTTTTCTAATCACCTTCGACTTTTAATGGCACGATCTCTATCAATTTAGTTATACACCTTCATGTAATGTGAGTTGATGCAAATTGTACGGTTTGGCAGTAGTGCCAGGTCCAGTGTTTTTTACAACTGACTGATTTTTTAATAGTATAAAGAAAATTATTCAAAATATACCGAGTCGACCGAATACAAACCATAATAGACAAATATCTTTACCAATAATCTGGCTTGCACGATGTTTTCGCCCATGATGCATGTACCTCCTTAAAGAGTAGACAACAACCTTACCAGCAGGTTCAAGAATGTTAAGAAAAGAAAGCAGTTTATTGAATAAACGAAATGGAAATCTCATACTCCATAACGAATGGAAATTACTTCGCTAGCATTTAGCTTTCGAGCTGCACTTAATCTATCATGATTACTCTGCTAGAGTGCTCATTTCTTACACAAGATCGAAACAAATCAATGCCTATAACTAAATCAGACCTATTAGGTGACAAAGACAGAACCGCACATGAATTAGTACAGCAAAAATTTCCAACTGCCATTAAATAAAACATAAAATGTCTCAGAAACACACGGATCTATTATGATCCAAGGTGATTACTACCATACTCTAATGCATTATAATACAAATAATAAAGCCAAAAGTTATGAGGAACTACAGCACTTAATCGTACATAGAAATCGTTCCTACAAGGTGGGACCAGGCTGTTCCCCAAGATATAGCTAAGAATCAAAGTGCATGAGTAAATCACCGAAAAATCAATCCCATTAGCAGCGTTAATTCGAAAACTTCTGAAACTCCAGCAGTACATGTAAACTACTGAACATCAAATTGGCTTTCTCAAAGCACAAAGATGCAGCAAATGTGATAATCAGAACTAATGAGTAAGTTTGTAATTTTAGCAATCAGCTAAGCCTATGCACTAAAGTTAATGACAATACCAGGCCATTAGCATGAAATACGCTGAATATTGTTGAAGTTTGTGATTGTGTTACTGAGACATGCCTACCTAAACTGAAAAGGGGCGTTTATAGTTCCATTTTAAATCACTACTGTTCACATAGTTCATTGAAAGCTGCATGAAATGTTAGAGAAATCATGAAAGAGGGAATATCAACAATTCTCTGTTTTGCGCTAAAAAACATGCCTGAAACTGGGTTCCACTTACAAACTAAACCGTAGAAGGAATTTATGGGGTGCCTGAACTGAAGTCCAGTCCCTGTAGACGGAAGGATGTTTCAAATCAAAATGAAGGCTTAAAGCCTGGACATTTGTTATAGTTTAAATACAAATGTATTAATATAAGTGTAAAACTTGGGCACTGTGGTCGAGTGTAATTCCATTTTAGTCTGTTTATTAGAAATATCACACAGTGAAACGGTAGCATTTACTGGATAACGTTTCGGACATAATTTATTGTCCATATTCATAGCCGGTATCCTGGATGTGTCTTTATCTCGAAGAGTGCGTTTACAGTTATTCGTAAAACTATGCCATACATCACCCGCTGTAGAATAGCAAATACTCGACTACCTTAGATCTTGGCGACCCTTTATTTCATTATTAACAGCCAATTTAGTTCATCCGATATGGTCTTCCAAAGAAACTTTCCTTGCGAAGCGGAATATGCTTCATAACTATTCACCAACCAGTTACAAATGCGTTAGAGTAGCGGCATTTATGCTAAAGCTAAGGGAACCTTACTAAATATACTTTTCATAGCAGTGACACAACGATGCATAACTTTGAAGTTCCATAAATGTGTGAAAGTAAGATATAGATAACCAGGATATTATAATGTATTCTAAAAGATTAACTTAGAGTACATGAATATCTAATATTTCGGGGAAAGCATTTCGACAGCTTATAGCAAAATATATGAGACAGTGGATAAGATGAGAGCTAATGTATTCTATAAGTTATAGGATATAGAAAGCTAGGCACGTTTTCGAACACAGACGATAAAAGAACAGTAGCTAAGAATGGAAATGACACATGTCTGATATCCTCTGGCATTTCATCCTGAATATTTCATCACTAATGTGGGTAACTTCATCAAGAAGTTAAGTATATTTGATTTGTATGAATTCATAAGAAATATTCTTGTTGACGACTGTGCGAATTACCTGACTGAAGATAAATGAAGCCCATCAAATGCCAGACGATACCACACAGTCATCACTTCTGAACTGCATGCAGACAACCAGCATCATGACAAACTCCAACCAACTTCAGGATCGGAACTTCACAGGTTGTTTTCGGATAACATTGCATCCATGCATTACACTTTTCGGGTAAATCACTTAAAAGTTTAGTTACATCACTACCAACTATAAAGGGAAGTGTTCGAGAAAAACTGAACTAGCTTAGATCATCACTTGTAGGATCATTAATTATATTCGCTTGAGTGAAACGGTTAAGATTTCAACACTGAAGCAGGTTACTTTGAGACTTAAATATAGGTCAGTTCTTTATGGTACTATCATTCGATTAAACTCTGCTGACTATCGTTGGCATAAACTAACTAAGGAGATGTTCAGGTGAGTATGTCTACAGCAAATCTACTAGAATGGATCTAATTATATAGACTTCTGCATCGACTTCACCAACTCTCTCTCTCTCGTTCTTCTGTTGTTCATCGATGCAATGATGTCCATTTACATACAATTCGTGTTTGAATCACCTCCTGAACTTATTGTCAGCCTCATCACCCAATAAGACTTTATCTTACCGAATCGTCATAAACACCTTATTCGAGTATTCTAAATAATTCCTGTATGGATCAATTAGTATAAAGCTAGACTTTTTTTCTCAAAAAACAGTCGAATCGAGATCAAAACGGAAAGTTCAAAGGTCAAACTTATATACACGACTGTAATTTCACAGATGTCCAAAATATGTAAAAGAAAAGGTGACACTCGAAATGACACTTAGTATATAACCAATGAAACTGCGGACAGGAGCTATGTAAGCGATTATGACAAGGTACAACTCCAAAGTAATACCCATATACTTCAGCAGTTTACCGAGGAAAAACAGTACGCTAATCAGATATACGAAAGTCTCAAGTCTGCTAACGCTTATAAGAGCAGATATTTCCAAAAAACTGTGAATGAGAGACAGAACAACGTACCACACCACACCATGGTCACTCAATATTCATGAGGAAAACCCCGATCCTTAGTACGTTTTATTCCTAGTAAATAGGTGACCATACAGTGGTGAAATTTGTAACAATTTTAAACAAATCAAAATCGAGTTAGTTCCAGAAAGATGTGAAATACCTGATAACCAAAAATTTATCCAACCTTAAAGGGTCTAACTTTCTATAAATACGAAACGAGCTTACATTTGATCTGAACATCTCAACGCACTCAAGTTTGCCCGATTTTTGTGTTATCATACAGTCAACCTTAAAACAACAGCTTTCTGGCGCAGGTTAAATCAACAAAACAAAACAAACTAGGGATAAACTTGGGTAGCTTTAATGAAGTGATAAACCAAATTATTGAGAATTTCCCTCAAAAAATTGACCACAAGGCGGCAGGTAATTTACTCCTCAGGATCAAATAAATCTCCACAGAATAATCAATAGCAAACCATAACATAATGAGATGCACTGATTGTAAATGAAGGGAACAGATGACAGTTCAGTTTTCAAAGAGGATTTAACCCCATATCCTTCATTTGACAACTTTGCACAAATGAATCACACAAAAAGTGCACACTAAAACCGGTCATAGCTAGATGATGTAAGACGATATACAGTTTTAATTTAGTTCTGTTAGCACTCACAGAGTCTAATGCAAGTTTCCAGGCAGTATCAATAAAGAATGATAAGTCAACAAGAGACTATGGTAACTCTAACGAGGAACGATCCTATCATTCTGGCAAATGGAGAATTCATTTACCGACCAAGAATCCGACAGAATCACTGTTGCCTTACAATTCATACTCAGACACTAAGTTCGTCGCTAAGGGCGGTTTACAACGCTAGTCGGCGTTTAATTAAAAGAAAATACTTTATATTACCTCAGGACACACCACACTTAATGATGCAGATTTTCAAAATAACAGATTCACGTATGTCAAGTGAACAGACTAGTATAGTCATCCGACAATGATCGGTTCAAAGTAAAGGCAGCATAAACAACACACTATGAGGAACATTAGTTCCTCACTAAAAGGGGGTTAAAGCAATCAAGAGTGGTAGCATGAACCAAAATGAAGGAACACATGATATTGTAAAACAAACAGTATCCTGTAAAATGTCAGATAAGTCAACAACAGCTGTCTGAGGCTTTCAAAGTACTGAGTAACTCGGTGGCCATCAGTTCAAATCCGCCACGATCCAGATTTTCATCTCACCTTCAACCACCACCCAATATCAACACTAATCTGCCAAAACACGGCTATCTCGGATGGTCGAAAATGATAATCAATATGATTCTCTCCTTATCTAATTTAAGAACATTTGGATTGTGATGAGAAGTCCTGACTGGGAAGTCAGTGTGAGTACGATCAAGGGGTAGTAGCGTGTCACGAAGTTACATGGTAGTCGGGTAAAACCTTTGATGAGTGAAATCAAAATCTGGTCAGCAGTCGGACCTCGTAGCTCGGTTAATAGAGCACTGGTTAGGAAACCTAGTGGTCGCTGGATCGAGTCCTGCCGTGGCCCAGATTTTCATTTCATCTTCAATCATTACCTAGTATAAATACTAGTTTGCCAAACCACGGGTATCTCAGACAGTCAAAATGACAACTTTATGACTAACAATCTTTCCAAAAACATTCACTGGTAAGGTCGAGAGAAGACAAAAGTGACTTGCTTAAAAAAATTGGATTCATATCTCCGATATAGCTGAAACATAGTACAAGTTCAACGATACTATACATAAACATGAAACTAGACTGATTATAAACCAACAACAAGTAATGAGTAGAAAAGATCAGAACTGTTTCAGGATAAATGGACAAAGTTAATAAAAAGCTCATATGAAAATGACTCACCAGACAACACCGAATGCTCCATAGCCCAGACCTTTCTCCACAGAACCATGACTTCCTTCCCCTTGTCCTCGAGGAGGTAGAAAGAAAGGCTTTATGTGACTGACACCAGTAATACATCCATTGACAGAAATTGCAAGAAGTGCTTCCTCGCGCGTTGTGGTGTCAACAGGTGTAGCTGGTGGTGTAGCCCGTGAAGGAGTGTAGCCCACTTGAACTAAACCTCGGAAGGGACGATGGGGAGCTGGTCTCTGGCCTACAACCGTCGTTGACATGGAAATAAAAGTTTTAATGTGATCCACGGCCAAAATGGGCTAAAGGAATGATATAATGGTCGGTAGATTTGCAGGATATGTGAAGACCGAAAACATGTGCAAGTGTAATGAATTTCCAATAAATTTTTCTCAGTAAAAATAAACGATTATCACAAAATCCAAATCCAGATTCTGAACGAAAGAAAGAAATTAACGCTTGCAACTGCACTCGATAAAAGTCAACCTATTTATAGGTTCAATGTATATGCATGCCGGGCTTGATGCCACTTCTGGCACGCAGACTCAGACACTGGACAAACTTGAAGACCAGGGCTGACTCAGTGACACAAGCTATTTAAATTTTTACGTGTCTGTCTATCTTCCAGGCCAATCGACTGATTCATACATTTAGAGAGGCAGGCAGAATAAACTGACATACATGTCTGGTTTCTAAAAGTAGGGGAGGCGAATTTTGACCCTGCGCAAAGCAAGCGAACCAAATCAAAGCAATTTTTTTCTAGGGTTTGACAGACTACTATACTGGTTCCATAAACCTCTAAAACCTATTAGTCGGTGCATCTGATAGGTCATTCTAAGTGACATCTGTTTTTTTACACTTGGTGTCACAAAAACTGTATGGAAAAAGATATGTGAGGGTGAGAGAGAGAAACAATTGTATTGGTTTGTGTGTGTCAAGCATGAATAAGAAGGATAATGATTAAGAGACAAGGGAGGAGTTACACTGGGTGTATATAGCACAACACGATGGAAAAACAACTTGATGATTTTGGACGAAGTCTGCCTTAATAAAATTTCCAGCATAATTAATTAATTAGCCTGCAAGATGGGTGCATAAGATCTATTACGTGTTAGACTGTGTTGTTTGTGTTTAGACTGAAAGCCTTCTAAGCGTACCACGGTACTTTTGTGACTTACTACTGAAAGAAGATAGACACATTTGTACAGATTTCTGTCGAGTGATGAAATCGTTAGTCTGATAATGGCACAGAGCAACTTCGTGAAAGAATATCACCTGATTTAACGTAGGCAGTAGTGACGTAGGTTGAAGAAACAATATGCGTAAGCTCTGGCCTGCATTGTTTAAAGGCTTATGTGAATAATCTAAAGTCTGAAATATTGACAGTAGAAAACATGTTTCCGAAGCTAATTAGAATGCGTATGCAAGAGCAGCAGTGGTGCTTTTTGCAGTGCTTCGATTTTCCACCAAAAAGCTGAGTTACACACTAAATGTTAAAAAAGGTTTAACCCAGGTATTTTCCCAATCAAACATTTTGATAACTGATAGACTAATTGTAGGTGTACTTGAAACACATATCTAAGCACCTGATCAACGAAACTCGGTTTGGCTGATGCTGAGGTGAACGACGAGTAAAAGTAGCCTAGACCTAACTTGACAAAAGTCTATGCATTGATCATAAAACCGTAATAATAAGCTATGCATACAAAAGACACTAATAAGGTGGAGGCAGTTAGTTAGCTGTGGAGTTCCACAGCTAGCCACGATCCATCATTAACATAATTAGAACGCAGGCAATATCGAGGCATCCTCACACGAGCCCATATGCCAACAGAGACCGATCAATTCGGTCTAATCAACGACGGTATGATATAAAAATTATACATAAGTGAGCATTCATGTTCTGACATTCGGCACAGATGTTCCAGCGTGGACTTACGTCATTTGTAGAAGGGTATCGTATAAACACTCAGTGACTGAAGTGAGTTTAAGACTTGATCAGATTTTAAGTCTTCTGGTTCACTTAATAAAGCGTCAGAACGGCGATCCAAAAGTCACCAGGTTATCATTTCACCTTCAGTTATCTGGTGGTTGCAGTAATAGAAATCTACCCAAAAATCTTGGAGAGTTTCATCAGAAGTCAGTATTCACCAAAAACTGTTTATTACTTTTGTTTTTATCCTAGCCCCTACAACATCTGAGAACTATTTTTTATCTTCATTGCTATAAACCAGATTCCAAGAGCTCGATCCCAAATGTAACTATGATATGGCATATACAGTTGAAAACATAAATCTAGAATTGTAATGCTAAATGAGTAACCAAATTCGATTGTTGGTTTTTAGCAAATGATCGATTTCAAGGTACTTTTCATTATGGATTGACATTCATTGAAGAAGCATTTAAAAGCTGAGAGAAGTGGATATAAGTTTCGAAGTAGTTTTCAACTTTTAAGCAGTGGTTTTTGCTACGATTTGTGCGGTCAACTAAGTCAAATATGAGGACGAATACTCTCTGACAGCAGTGAATAATAATGGCTCTATATCACGAGTTGATAAAAGTAGGACAATATAAACCACTGCAGTAACACATTCGTTAAGACGCTTGATGATCATGTGTTAGGTGCATCACGGAGTTGTAGGTGCACACTGTTAAGGAGTCCGTGGTTTCCGATGATTCTATAACTCTTGTCTGTCTTTGATGTGAACTACCCTGGAATGACTAGGTGTTATCGTCAGTATGGATCTACACTCATAAACTCTCATTGACCTGGTATTTTTTAGACATTCCATGCTATACTGAAATCAAACATTTAGTTTTGAAGTGAGTTACCTCAATCCACCAAGTTTATTTAACTAGATCGTTAAGTCTTACGTAATATGCACTTGATCCCTAACCAGCTGACTGCCTGAAGACTTTTTCAGACATTGAAATCAAACAAGGAATTTCCAATCTCCACATCTGAAGATTTAGCACTCTTAAGCTGAATCTTGAGTGTGGTAGTAGGTGTGCGCAACTGAAGAGCCTTAAGTAGAGAAAACCAGGTTTACAGTTATTATGGCTTTTCACTGTCTTCCAATGTCTTCGAATATCAATTCCTGAAACTACAGCTAGTATATCTGTTTGCTTATTTTCGTCATCGATTATTTCTCATTGAATATGGATATAAGAAAAAGGGTTTATTTGTCATCTCACTACTATTTTCCTTGATTCCATTTTTTTTGGCTTAGTTTGTTGTACGTGTAGGATTCAGAAAGGCTGTTATCATCATCATCATCATTATCATTAAACATTATTCCTTACTTTTCTCAACCTTCTTTCAATCCATTTAAATGTAACTTTTCGAACACTAGTTAAAATTCACTCCTCATAATTTGTTTTTATGTTCCCTTTATTTTGACACTCTCATTTCACTTGCAAAAAGTTAAAACAAGACGGATAAAATTAAAGGTAACATTGTAATAAGATAATTTTGGTGCCTAAAAATCAGAAATGTATCACAATACTAAGATTCTACTTGCGGTAGGATACTTTTCGAACAGTTTCACATTGTTAATAACAACCTTAATGATTTCTGATAAATGCAAGGTTAATTTTCATTATTAAGTTTGTGTGAAAGTAGTTTTCTTCACAAACTGATGTCAAATGATAAGCCGTTGAAACCCCGAAGCACTAGATAGTTATTTCACCTGAGTTTATCTCCACCTTAACAGTGAACACCGACGACCAGGTGAATGATTGAGTCTAGGATCGTTAAATCTTACACTGAACACATCAACATGCAGCAAACAGGTTGTAAATCAGTGTACTAATTTTACAAATTCTGAACCATTAGGCTGGGTGGTGATAGCCCTACAGCCAAAATTGACAGTATTGTGACAGTTTCCACATGGGTTTGTGAAACTAGACTACTGACTAGTCACAAACGATGATGAAAGAGGTAAACAGTGTTCCTAAGTTTTTAACGGTTCTCCAATTGACGTTACTCCATGATTAAAACTACTTTCAAATCCATTAACCTTCATAAAACGCCTTATTGAAGTCTATATGAAACTGAAAATTACATATTCGTTGAGAAGTTGTAGTGTACTGTAGGTCGAAATGCAAGTTGTCATCTGGCGTGAAATTTAATAACCTCCATTTATTGTTTTGTTTGAATAGTAATAACTAGTTAATTTTGGTACCTTAGGATTGCTAGTAATTTGTTTTGATAATAGAAATAAATAACAGCTAGCGATAAGATACTAAGTGCACTTTCAATCTGATGTTATTCGCATGGTGAAAGATAGCAGTGGAATCCAGGACATGGGTTTCGTTCTGCTTGGGACTTGATAGGTGGATACCAGTATTGATTCGTCTGTTCAAAGAGCCGATAAGCCAAGACACACAGACCATTTCGCTTCAGAAAAATAATCAACTCAAAATTATAAGCATCAGTAATAAATAGCACTTTCAGTCTTGTTTAGGACTTATCCCTCGGGTGTATTATTCACTGTTTAAAAGATATTAGGCTGTATACTGGGCTTCACATTGGTTCATGGCTTATTCTTTCGAATATTTTTGGTAAATATTTTTCAGAAGAGTCAGTTAATCTTCATCACAAAGTAACATTAGTTACAGAACCATCAAAAGTATGGGATAGTGGATGGTGTTCTTGATAATACTTTTAATCTTTCCGGCATTCTGCAATTTCGACTGCATCAAAAGTATTCAGAATGGTTAATGACTGTATTATCCAGAAGGAATGACTCTTCTAACAAGGTCTGTATTTCCTTCAGGTACCTGATTAGCTTAAGAAAATGATTCTGAAAAAGGTATTTGTATACTAATCGGTAACAATAAACTTATTGAAAATAGCGAACACAACATTTTGGATTTATAGTATCACGTTGGTTGGTTTGAAAAAGCTGTAATATCACGACTGACATAGTTCACTGATGAAGTTTTTGATGATGCGTTGTAACCCTAAATCTGACATACTTGTCAATCAATTTAACATTCGAATAAAACAGATAAGAGTTAAGTCGGTTGATAAAGTTGTCAACCTTTATTGATTGGCATGGTTGGGATATGTGTAACGTATGCCTAGTCACCATGGTCTACTTTACTCAAGGTTAACTAAGATGTGTCCAAGCTGCAGAATAGAATTTAAAGGCAGACAAACTAAAGCCTGGCATCGGTCCATCAAGTCTCTGATTGTTGGTCTAAGTCATCCATGAAAATACAGACTGCTCAGCTCGAGTCCGCATGGCAACCGAGTTTG